TGCAACAGGGACACGGAAAAAAGAGAAAAATATATATTTGGTGTTAGATCATAGAGTCAATATGACTTTTTAACATTGATTTCATTCATAAAGTAGCCTAAATAAGTTATCCTTCGTGAAAAGGTAGTTGTAGTTATTATATCACGAATTAACTGTCATTAAATTAAAAAAAAAAAATCTGAGTAGAATTGTTGGCACAACTATGGAGGATTACTGTCACACCCGTAAAATCAAGAAATTACTGAAACAGAACCAGTCCATCAACATGAAGTTGGCTCAAAGGTCTCAGAAGGCAACACACGGCTGAAAAAAATTGAGATTTTCAAGGGCTGTACTATGTTTTTTGTTTTATTTCCTTGTTATGTAGTATCATTTCATAGCAATAAAGTTATTTGGGTTGTTGTAAAAATTTATAATTTGACTTCTGAACTTAACATCTGGAAATTGGGTCTCTGTCTATTTAATGACACTCCTGCTCTTTTAAAAGAGAAAGAGCAGCAGTCTTCAGGAAGTCATCACATATCGGAGCTACACTGAGAAGCAACTCCTATAATGAGCTCAGCAGATGTGTGATTCCACAGGGTGTTTGCTAATTGATGCTGGCTAGTCTGAAGGAGTCGCAGAGGAGGGCTGCTTTGTGCGGCCAGAAGCTTGGAACCTGCAGCTCTGAGGAGGAACTTCGTCCTTCATGGCGGAGCTAAGTCCACCCAGGCGTTTTACACAGCCGTATAGTTGCCATGGAGATGAAAGGATTTCTCAAACATGCATAAATGAAACAAAACACTCTAGTATGTGTTTGGTGAGGGAATAGCATTATAACATGATGTGAAGTTTTAAAAAAGTGGATTTTACATAATGCTGCCCCGTCTGCAAAAAAATAAAAAATCATTGCGATTTTGAGTCGGGAAAAGTTTGCAAGCTGTTTGTCTCTACGGCTTTGAAACTCAATGAAAACACTCTAATGTGTTGTTTAAACCCAGTAGAGCATCTAAATCACTGCTGGTTTAACTGTTTATGATTTGACAATAAGATAGAGACAAAAGTGGCGTCCATGAGTGTCAAGCCAAACACAGGAAGAAAATCACCAACAACATCAAGAAAAGCCACTGAGTATCAAAATTTCACAAATTTTGGATATTCTCTACAAATCAAATCATGCGTTCCAAACTGAATGTTGTGTTTCCTCGGACTGTGTTTGTCAAAACTTCATGTAAACAGAAGAAATCGGTGAGGGAACGTTTTCCACAGCACTGCACCTGCTCTTCACCGATTCCTAACCTGTACAGAAACTCAACCTCCTCCTTCGTGTTGCTCCTGGCTTCACGCCCCGTCAGGTCGTGACCTTCGTACGAGGTCAATTGTGCGGTCGGTGTGTGAATAACTCCCACCTGATTGCTGAGTATGCAGAAGTCTGTGTATCTTCTGAAGACCAGCCAGCTGCCTCCTTCAGGCCTCTTTATCAGAATCTTGTAAACCTACAAAACAGATGGAATTATTGAGCGATCAATATCAAAATAAAGTATTGTTGGAAGACATCTTGTTTTTATGCTGTACGCATTGGGAATCTTCTCAATGGGAAAGAGCCACTTCATACACTCACTGCCTTCTGAGTAACATTACCTGGTGATCATGAAAGGTTTATTGTTTATTGCTTTAGAAAAAGAAAAACATATCTATGATGCCCCCGAGTAGGTCGAACAGAAACAGAGAAAATACATATGCATTCACTTATTCACAAACATATACAGTAATGTAAGAACAAGACATTGTCTGGGTCAAGTTCTAGTTGTATGTAATAATACTTTATTTAGCCATAAACCAGAATGCAGTCAGCTCAAAAAGGAGTGGGGAGAAGACAGACTTATTCACTCCTACTCCCTTTAAAACAATCTAAAACTCTATAATACATAATGAAATCATATTAAATTACTGTTAATTCTACACATGTAGTGTACATGGTTATTACTTTTTAGCATTCTTTGGAAGTGTTGTGGCTATCAACTTCTGTTTTTTGGTTTTTATTTGTGTGTTTTGGGCTTTTCTGCGATGTTTTTTTTTTTTTGGTTTTTGTTTTCAAGTAATATCTGTAGTTTTTGTCCGAATGCTTGTGGTCTGAAGCCCAGAAATAATAGTTTCTACTGTGTGAGGGACAAATCCTTAAATAAGCTGACAAAAACTAAACAATTATTTAATTTAAAAAAAAAAAATCTGATTAGTCTTCCCTTAATCTAAATATGATGTCTCTCCCCTCCCCCCATCTTCCATCAAAAATACTAACATTTTTAAAAAATGACAACGGTGGCATCTGAATCTTTTCCAAAACTTTTGGCTGGGAAAGTTCCAGTGAAAATGTTGGTCATGCGACTAAATTTTGCAATAAACCCTCCAAAATAATTACCATGAAGACAAAACTCAGAAAATGAAAAGAGCAAGCAAATGTCATTACAGATGGAGTAGGGCTGGACGATACGGCTGAGAAATGTATCACCATATCAGCATTTTATATATTGATAATTATTGATTAGTTCTTTTTTTATATATATCTAAAATACTGGCACCACGTTTTGTATTTTATCCACAGTTTTCACTCGTTTTTTTTTCTCTTTCTTTTCTTTTGCTTTGAGCGATTGATTATACGTCATGGTGATAAAACCTAAAGCTGCTGCTGTGACTCATTAGTTTGTTGCTAGGTGACCAAAGAAGGAGTGATTTTGGTTGAAGCCACCAATCTCACCTCGCTGTCCGTAAGACGTTGAGCAGCTAAAGCCTTTCCTCTGCCTACGTCCCCCAGAATGCTGTGCGGTTCTGGATGGGAATTTAGTGAATATTCTATATATTGAATTTCATCTTCGTCCTAGAACAATAGCCGAGATCATTCCTTGACAAAAGTCCTTCTTTTTCTGCCTAAATCATCTTTTGATGAAAAAAATGAAATTTTAGGAAGAAGACAATATTGAATATTATATCAGATGGATTACCTATTGATATTCATCATGTTTCTACTGTGATATTTACTGTTTTGATTTATTTTCTTCATCTGGGATCGGACTTCCTACCGTGAGCTTTTCCCTCTCCTTCAGAATCTCATAGCCCAGCAGAGTTGCACTGATGGGTGTCTCCTCTTCCTCAGTGTTCCCTGGCCTGACACTCTGCTCTCCTCTGGGTCTCCTGCAGGCCTCATCTACCGTGAGCGGAGAAGCCCCTCTGCTCAAACTGGAGCTGTTCACTGTGAACCAGTTGATAGCTAAATGGACTGGAACAAACGGGTCAGCCATTCGACTGTTTTTTTTTCTTTTTTTCTTTTTAGTGAACACCTGCCAACACACACGAAACAAGTTCATTTACAGCCACAATGAGAGATAACTACAAGGACATCATCCTGGCGGATTCTGGTTAAGTTCACTCACTTCAAGTCAGATTTGCTTTAATCCCAGTTTCATTCCTCGTCCGGACTGTGGGATAGTCTCGCTGACTCATCAACTTTATGTGGCTGGATGTTGAGTAAGCAGTAGTTATAGTGCAGCAAGGAATTTATTGACCTTGTGGGTTACACGCGTTTACGATCACAGAGGGTGAATGCACATACAGTCATGTGCTACTGTGTGCCAGACAGGAGGGACTTCCTGTTTCTATTAAATGCCAATTCAAATCAATTAACTGGACGCTTCAGAGAAACGACTCAGCCATGTTATATTTACAAGGAAAAGGCTAAAACCAGCCTTTTTATGTTTAAATCATATCGAGGATACAATGGAGCATCAGCTAAGATAAAAAACACTGGAATCAAGAGAAAAAAGTCACAATATTATGATAATATTATAAAGTAGAAACATGTTGCGTCACAAGAGTGTTGCAAGTGATAATTGCACTAGAATATAATTAAAAAAGAAAACAACAATAAAAGTTAGAATATTGCCAGAATAAATTTCCAATATTAGGAGAATGAAGGTGTCACAAAAAATAATAATGAAAAAATTATAATGAAGAATGTTGAGCATCTTGTGAATTTGTCCTTTGGTATAATTTTGTGTTACCTTCACACAAAATAAAATACTTTATCTTTTAATCACATCGGTATCAAATTCTGTTTTAGTTGCTGGTCTTTCAAACAGTTTTACAAAGGCTGTGTCTATTTTGAAGACAGAACCTCACAAACCAACTCAGCAGGTCCTGTCAGATCCTGATAACCATTTTCATCACCATCAAGTTTTGTCTGTTAGAATTAGGATATTGTTTCAAAATGGCATGATGGTCCAACTTTTTTTTTCTTCTATTATACCAAGAATCCAAATCATCTTCCTCCATCTTCGTCATACTTCAACAAGCTTTAATGTTTTCCTCTGTTTACAATCTCCAATATATCCAAAAGCAGATCAGATCTCAAATCACAGGCGTTGTTGATATGACATTGCATTTCTAATCCTATTATGGCTGATGCCACATGGCGCTGGTGGAAAAACTCTTTATTTGTTGATGCATATTTTTCTATTTTATTTTTTACTTTGCTCGTTTATTTCATATTATTAATTTTTTATTTGTTGAAGAGAGTTATTTTAAAATAACTCATTTGTTTATCAATGCATTTCTTTTGTGTCTCAAGACCCGAAAAACCAATGAAACGGTGACATTTTCTCTAAAGTCACGGTAAATAAGTGGTCACATGGCTGAATGCCGCTTCAGTCTGACACCTTTGAGGAAAACCCCGATTGAGGGAAATTCCCGCACATCTGAAACCCCCCCGACAATCAGCTTGTGCAAATGGTCGAATATCTTACTTCAAGTGAAATCGGAACAATAAGATGAACTGAGTGACTTTCACGAATATCGTCTTTATTAAAACAACGTCTTTAAAAAAACACGTTCTGTTAGAAATGACGGGCTCACGTATACTTATAGCGTTTACTTCCATCGATAACATGAACTACGTGTCCACATGTTTTATTGTAACTGTGGAAATGTCGTTAATCCTACAGACATGAACGTACCACACAGACCCGGAAATGAGTCGTCATTGACAGCGCAGAAAGTGTCTCTCTTAAATATTCGCGCAGCTCCCGCAGCGGCGTCATTCCTGCCGTCCTGCAATAACTCTCCCTCCGCTGAGTGGTCAGCGCGGCTCTACATCACTGAACCGAGAATTGAACGCTTACGTGCTCAGTTATGATGTTCTCTTAATCGGTAAAAAAAAAAAAAAATCGCTGAACGGCGTGGCTGGCTGCTCTCTTTCAGCCTGTAGTTAGCTTAGCTCACTAACATTCGCGACGTTTCGGTAGGCGAGTAAATGGGATAGCTGTTCCTCGTTGCGTTTTACCGCAAGAGGCAGTTCTGCTGTCCGTCCGAGGCTGAGCCTGTGCAGTCCGCACACACCTCCCTATTAGAGAGCGTCATGGAGCCGCACGGGGCCGCGGGCTGCGTCAACATCGGGACCTTGACGAGCACCCTGCCGGTGATCCCCTACCAGAAGCTGACCGACTTGTACTACCTGAGCAGAGGAGGCTTCGGCACCGTCTTCAAGGCGCAGCACTCCGACTGGAGAACCACGGTGGCCATCAAGTGCCTGAAGCTCGACTCGGTCGGAGAAAGGTACCCGGGTCAATGTTGCTTTCAGTGTCAGTGTTGTTGTCAGTGTCAATGTTGTTGTCAGTGTCAGTGTTGTTGTCAGTGTCAGTGTTGTTGTCAGTGTCAGTGTTGTTGTCAGTGTCAATGTTGTTGTCAGTGTCAGTGTTGTTGTCAGTGTCAATGTTGTTGTCAGTGTCAGTGTTGTTGTCAGTGTCAGTGTTGTTGTCAGTGTCAGTGTTGTTGTCAGTGTCAGTGTTGTTGTCAGTGTCAATGTTGTTGTCAGTGTCAGTGTTGTTGTCAGTGTCAATGTTGTTGTCAGTGTCAGTGTTGTTGTCAGTGTCAGTGTTGTTGTCAGTGTCAATGTTGTTGTCAGTGTCAGTGTTGTTGTCAGTGTCAATGTTGTTGTCAGTGTCAGTGTTGTTGTCAGTGTCAATGTTGTTGTCAGTGTCAATGTTGTTGTCAGTGTTGCTTTCAAAGTTCTTAGAGAGCTGTAAGTTACATCAGAACTCATTCAGGTGATGGACAAAATAACCAACAACCAATCAAGTAAAGCGCTCCCACATCATGACCCTGTCACCACCATGCTTTGTGGTGTTTCTGTCAGGTTTGCATTGACCGGAATAAATGGAGAATTACAACATTATTGAGAATCAAAATTTCTTCCATATTTTCACTTTTATCAGACTACTAAAGAAAATATGGTGAAATTAGTGGTTGTTGCTTTCAGGGTTTTTCCACCAGACTGTGACTTTAAAGTTGGGCAAGCCAAAACATGCAGATGCCCACGCTGAGCTTTTAGGATCACATGGGCAAGTTTACTCATGTCAGCAAGGTGCCGATTAGACTCGTGCACATTGGAAACTTTTCTAGATAAGTTTCTATTTGACACAATCTGCCTTGATCAGCCACTTAAAGAACGGCTGCACAACAACCTGTGGTATGTGCTTCCTTTTCAGCGTCCCTATAGTCCTGACACATTCGGAGGAAACTGTCCCAAAATGCTTCATCATAGTGTTGATGATGGAGTGCTCATCATTTAAGCATTCTTTTAATTATTTATTATTATAATTGTTATGAATGCTCTAAGGTAAGGTAAAGAAATGCCTTTGCTTTAATAGAGGGTAAAGGTATTTACCCTGCAGACAGTCTACTTAGTAAAAAAAAAAAATGTCGATTGACTGCATACATTTCTTTATCTCATTGTTGGGAATGTGTGCCTAGCGTTTTGGCTGGAGGGGCAGAGGTCACCCGAGTCTTTGGCTGTGTTTCAGAGAGAGGAAGTGCTTGCTGAAGGAGGCCGAGGTGCTCCACAAAGCCAGGTTCAACCACATCATCCAGATTTTTGGCATCTGCAACGAGCCCGAGTTCTTCTGCATAGTGACAGAGTTCATGAGCAACGGCTCTCTGGACCAGCTGCTGCACGAGGTAACCGCACGGCCTCCCGGTGAGCTCTGACTGGTGAAGGAGTGATTCGTTAGCAGAACTCGGAGGGTCAGAATCGGCTGCGTTGGAGCAGCGATGCGTTTAAGCTGCGCATTAGCTCTGTTCTTTAGTGAACATGGCACCAGAACAGTTTCCAGCCGTGACTGTTCTCATTTCTGAACTGTTGTGCATCTCCTATCACTATGGCAACGTGCCACATGAAAGTCCCTCCCTGCAGAAGTTCAGCTTATCTAGTGAGCTGAACAGTTCCTGTTTTTTGTAACTCTGTTGGTCGTACTCTTTGTTCTCCTGCTCCAACTGTGACCTCTGTATCGATCAACTCGATACAGTTAGCCTTGTCTTTCTTCTTTTTCTTTTTCTTTTTTTTTTTTGCCTTGGCTTGCCAGTGAGTGAAACTGAAAATAAAAGTGAAACACTGAAACCTCCAGTCTTTGGTGAAACTCTGAAACAGTCCAGAGATCAGGAGTTCAACTGATTCTTGGGAAATTCCCACATGAGCTAATCCATATTGGCTTCTCTCACACTTTGTGTTTGGGCTCTTGCATCACATTTCATCAGCTGAAGTGAATCTTTTCCATCCACAGAAGGAGCTGTACCCGGTCCTCGCCTGGACTCTGCGCCTGAGGACTCTGTACGAGATCGCCTTGGGGGTCAACTTCCTCCACAACATGACCCCGCCTCTGTTACATCACGACCTGAAGACACAGAACATTTTGCTGGACGGAGAATTTCACGTGAAGGTTTGCTGCCGAGACGTGACGCGGCTGGCAGAAGAGTTGTGCAGCGGGTCAGCTCTGAGACTCTCGCCGCTCTTTGCTCTTCCTCTCTCCAGATCGCAGACTTTGGTCTGTCCAAGTGGCGGCAGCTGTCTGTGAGTAAAGGCTCCGGGTCCAAGCCCACCGAGATGGAGGGCACCGTGATCTACATGCCCCCTGAGGAGTACGACCCATCCAAGACCCGGCGGGCCGACGTGAAGCATGACATGTACAGGTGAGGCTTCAGAGCTGGAGCTACGGTCGCCTCAGTGGGGTTGATGATTCTTTCTTAGCCTGGTTAGGAATTTATAGTGTTATGGAAAGTTACTCACACATTTTGACCTGTGCATTCCGTCACATTACTGCAACTTCTGACTTATGTGTAGTTTATGCAGACATGTTGTTGTTTACATCCAGTAATTTTGCTGGAGGGCAAAAAGATGATTCTTGTCCTGGGCAGCCGTAGCTGCACTGCTGCAGGAGAGCAACATGAAACCTGGAGATGTAGCTGCTGTTAATGTAGTGCAGAGCGTCAAATCAAAGGGAAAAATAATGCAGAAAACTGTTGAAGAACAACTAAAACACACTCAGTCTTCTTTTTTCTTGCTCTTCTCAATAAGGTCAGGTTTTTATACTAATCTGATTTAGAGAAGTCTGATCTTTTGACTAAATTGATGATATTTTTGTGACATTATCAGATCATTTCCTTCGGGAAAAAAGGTTTTAGGAGAAAAAAAAGTTTTCTAACCGGGTGTTAATGAATTAAATGTTACAAACTTGGATTTCTGTAAATTGAATAATAAACACTGATGAAGGTAAGTACATGAGAATCTCTTTTCTGTCCTGATGGAATCTCTCCTCCTGCTCATCACTCACTGATCAGATTCTCAGGAAACCAATCCTCCACAGTTCAGAAAGTTGACCTGATTGATCAAAACCAATTCAACTCATAAAAATGATCCTAAAACATTGAAAAAGCCCAGGCAATATTTTTGACTCTTGACCCGTGTAATAATCTAATACTGATCCGACACACAAGAACAACTTACAATACAAGGTGATTGTGACTCAAACAGAAACAGATAAAGAACTACGAACTCCTGCAGGGCGCGGTAGATATCAGAACGACAGGCGTCGTCTGCTGCTCAGATTTTTGCCGTAGCTATGGAAGGTTGATCCGCTGCCTGTCAGAGTGAAACGCCGAGCCGAGCCATCATGTGAGGTCAAGAACAAAGAAGTGACGAGGGAGGATTTGGTAACGCTATCAGCCACAGAGTTTATGAGGGAGGAAATTATTGCTGTGAAAACTAACAAAGTTCACTTTCCTCTGTGGGGGGTTTCCCTGCTGCTTTTGAGCAAGAGAATTCGATTGCTGCAACAAAGCGGGCCAGTGAGTTGTCACGCTTCCCTAAACCTGCTCCAGAGTGGAGAACAGAAAACCGCCGAGAGCAGAGATATGACTCCCAGTTTCCCTAACCGGTTTCTCTCTGTGACTCCCTCCCCCCATCACCCGCAGCTACGCCATCATCATGTGGGAGGTCCTGTCCAGGCAGATTCCATACGAAGGTAAGTCGTCATGGCAACCATATGTGTGACCCCCTGGCAGTGAGCTGAACGTGTGTCTGCGTCTTTGTGCGCCCAGAGGTGACCAACCCCATGCAGATCATGTTCGGCGTGCTGCGCGGGAAGCGACCCGACACCAGCCAGGACAGCCTGGCCGCCGACATCCCCGGCAGAGACACGCTCATCAGCCTGATGACCAGCGGCTGGACCTCCAACCCCGACGAACGGCCCTCCTTCCTCAGTAAGACGGCGCAAAACGAATCACATGTTCCACATGTTCTCCAATAGTATCTCACATGCAGTCTGATCTGATAAGTGTGGCAGTCGTCACATTTTTGCGGACAGAAAAGTAGCTGTAAAAATCGCAATTTTTCTTTTTTTTCTTTTTTTGACATGCGACTCTGCGTCTCGATGAGTCGCAGGAGTCATGTGAAAGTTTGTCATGACTAAGCATAAATGAAGTGCTAGCTTCCTATTACACGCTGTCACATGTATGAATAAGAATTTATGGTGACACTTTATTGGACAGGGTGTGTATAAGACTGACATGACACTGTCATAGCACCTGTCATGAACATGAAGGAGTCTTTAGGAACATCTATGACTGATGTCATGAAGTGTCATTCCCTGCATGACATCCTTCAGTCAGAGTGTGGCGGGTCAATCAGGAAGTGAAGGCAATGACATCTGATCAAGGTTTATAGTGGGAAATATTGCTGGATGATTAATTGTCCCAAAAGTTATTGCGATAAGCGATAATATTGTTTTGAGAGCATTTAATATAATGCTAACAGAATAATTCTGCAAGTACGTCCTCTCAAAAACCTTCATTTCTAACAAACGTTAACACAGACATTTCAAAATATCTGAACTAAATAAAGGAAAACAGTCTCCACGGCGCCGACTGATGCGTCCGTTTCATTTTCAGCGTGTTTGATCGAGCTGGAGCCGATGGTGAGACTGTACGACGAAATTGATTTCCTGGAAGCTGTGCTGCAGATCAAGAAGTCAAAGGTCAGTCTCTTCTTTTCATGGGTTTTTTTAAATGGCACAGGGACAGACCCGGTGGTTTGTATTGAGACCGCAGTGGAAGTTCATGTGATGCTTGTCATGTCACCAATGGCGGGTCTTTGTAATGTGTTCATGTCATCTCTTCATATGCAGCTACTGGAAAGAAGTGCAAATGCAAACATCACTTTCATTTTACATATGATGAAATTTGCAGGAATATAATTTAGCAGAAGAAAGACTTCTATATAATATTTTAAATAAAATGGGATGCTCAGAGAGTGGGTTTAATTATTCAACAAAATACTTCAAATCACAGACGGTTTCAGTCCATTTTTGCTTGATCAAGTTGAAACAAAAGTTTTAAAAAGAGACGGTTTCATTTGATAGTCTGAATACACCGGTTAGCCAATTAATCACTTCATCAGCTGACGGTTGTTTCAATAATAAGTTGATCACAGCTCAAGGTGTGACGAATAAACCTGCACTTTGTCCCAAATATGCACTTCCATTTCAGCAAAAACTCATAACAAGAACAACAGAAACATAAAGCAGACACATTGAGAAGCAAAGAATGACATCATGAATTCAGTCAGATATCTGAAACTGGAAAGGAAAGAAGAAGTAGAAACTTATTTCATTATTCCATCATTTAAGTTGTTGTGTCACATAAAATCCATATAAAATGTTATTTATTCATTTAGTTGTAATGTGATCAACTGTATAAAAGTTAAAGGGAACAAATACTTCAGACACTTTCGGTAATGAAAACTTCACGTAACGCTGTTCATAGTAAACGACACGCACATTATTAGCCATTATTAGCCATTATTAGCCATTATTAGCCATTATTAGCCATTATTAGCCATTTTTCCATTTGGGGAACTTCATCATCTCACCGCCTGATGCTGATTCCTGACCCAGGTGAACAGAGAGACGCTGAATGTTGCACACTGTGTAATCTGGGACAGTTTGAGCTGTAATGTGACGCCCAGCAGAGGCTGAGAAACAAAAAATCCCCCCTCAACACAACCTTCTCCTTTTCTAGTTTCTGTGTGTGTGAGAACACACCAGTGAGAGGCCCGGGTCCGGTCGGACAGCTGGAGGAAGCGGAAGTCGTCGCACCCTTAAACATAGATATGGGTCGATGTGCGGCGGTTTGAAACATGTTGATCTAAAACAAGGAGGAGCTGTGTTTAGGAAACTCGTCTGCTTTCTAATTTCGGTTTCCTCTTTTGTCTGCACGGTTCTTCCTTTACTCTGGTGGGTTCAGTGACTGACGTCTGCAGTGTGTCACGTCGCTGTGTGCTTCCTGTTCCCTCACAGCTGAATTGGAGTTCAGGCTGCTGCTCAGCTCAGCCGCCGGCCTGCAAGAAGAGCAACGAGGCCGGGTCTCTGAACGACCTGAAGGAGCCCGTCACCCCGTGGCCTTTGGTTAGTATCCATCCGTCCTCCACCCGCATGGAACACAGGAAACCTGAACAGGAACGATGCTAGATCTGATGGAGGATCCCAGACGTTATTGCGATAAACAATGATATTGTTGTTTTGAGACCATTTTCAAGTAATATAATGGTAATAGCTTAATAACAATGCAGGGACACGTTCTCAAAGATCAATAAACTTTAAATTCTAACAAGCATCAAACACTGGACCTGGAAAACATTTTCAATATCCAAAATAAACTAAACTAACGGGAACAACAAATAGCTTAAACTGTATAGTCTCTGTAAACAAAGTGAACTTTAAAAAAGGAGCTTCTTTAGACCAAAACACCAGACTGAAGACTTTCATCATCCAGGTTTTAGTAGGAAGGGAGGAATGAAAAATCATGCAAATGGAAATGATTGAGCTGGTTTTAATTTATGATGCAATTAGTTGATTTATGGTAAATTAAAACCCTTTTCTTTCTGCTGCTCTATCTGAACAGGGAGCCTCCCAGGCCTGCTGCTCTGGCTTATACTCCCCCCAGGAAGAAAACGTGTCTCTACCAGGTGCACTCATCAGCACCAGTCCCGCTTCCTCTAAACGTAACAATCACACGATAACAGAAAACTTTGGCTCTGGTCTGTATGTGATAGACCGGACACAACGTTATAATATTATGCCATTTCTGGTCAGGAGAGCATAAATTTCACCATCTGAAAATAATTAATGTATTATGAGGATGGCCCAGTCAAAGTCCAGACATAAGTCTGAACCTGCTCACATGTTCTCTCCGTGCAACATGACGGCAAAGACAGCAGTCTGAAATCTGACGCCCAGCAGAAATCTGGTAGAGACGCACCTGAATATAAACGCATGCCACACTTTTCAGATCTTTAGTTCTAAAAATGATAAACCAGGTATCATTTTCCGTCCGTTTTACAGTCCCCCACTTCTTTGTGTCAGTCTATCACATGAAGACGTTTTTGTCTGAGCTGAATGTGGACATGCGGGTCGGGTTCTAGGCGAGTTCTGACTCTCGTTCTGCTTTCGCCGACGCAGAGAGCCTTCCCTCCTCCTTCATCGCTCCGAACCTGGAGCATCCGCAGTCTCTGAAGGATCCCTGCGAGGTCAGCATTCCCAACGGCTTCCAGAGCGCCAAACCCATGAACGACTTGAACATTCCCGTCACGCCCGCCATGCCCACCACAGAGGCTGACGCAGCCATGCAGAACCTCAGCCTGAAAGGTATCAACAGTCAGTGTGTGCGTGTGTGTGGGGGTGATAAATTGTCCCTGAAGTTATCGCAATAAACGATAATATTGTCCTCATAATAATGCGAGAACACGTTCTCAAAGATCAATAAACTTTAAATTCTAATGAACATTTAACACTGGCGCTAGAAAACATTTTAAATATCTAAAATAAATAAACAAAACAAACAGAAATGACAAATAAAATGAATTATGAAGTCTTTTTTTGAAAATAATCAAAAAAAAGTTTAGCTGAGACCAAAGCGGCAGACTGAAGACTTTATCATTCAGTTGTTGGAAGAAAGAGAGAAACAAAAAATTATGCAAATGGAAATGATTGAGGTTGCTACAATTTATCATTCATCTCTTTAATCTTGCATATTCTGTGTATTTCTTATTCTTATTGCGAAATCGTTTGTCAGGCAAAACCTTGAGTAAAAATTTTATGACATAATCAATATTGTTCTCATAAAGCGATTAATCAAATTGATTCAGTTTATCAAAACCTTTGTTTTTGAAGATTGAATTTGAGACAGAACATACAATTCTCTTTTCCGTCGTCGTATAGGTCTAAAATTTTGTTCATAATTGTCTTAAAAAGTTTTAAATTAGAGTTGGTAACTCACCTGCTCAGGCGGTTGGATTTTCAGACCTTTGCAGACGTAGATGAGATTTGTTTCCCCTTGTAATTATCGGCCGAATCAAGTCCTGGCTGGTTTATCGGTGCAGCCCTAGTCTGATCAGCAACAGGGCAAAAATAAGTCAAATAACCATTTAGTTCACCTGATTTCACTAGAAAATCTGTTCCCCTTCCTCCTTCTGTGTGGCAGCTGAGTACTCTCCCCCCCAGCACCAGGCCCCTCCCTCCCGGGGCCCCGTCGCCGACTGGATCTCCACGCGGCGCGAGGACATCGTCCTCCAGATGACGGAGGCTTGTCTGAACCAGAGCCTGGACGCGCTGCTCGCCCGCTCCATGCTGATGCGCGAGGATTACGAACTGGTGGTCAACCAGCCCACGCGCACCGCTAAGGTCCGCCAGCTGCTCGACAACTGCCACAAGCACGACGAGGACTTCTGCCGGATCGTCGTGCGCAAGCTGGTGGAAAACAACCAGGGAGGGCTGAAGCCGTACCCACCTGAGTTCAGCTCGCCCGTCTCGGCCGCAGCGCCCGGTGTGCCGTCCTTCTCCACGTCCTACAGCAACTACAGAAACTTTTAACAGCAGCAGCAGCAGCAGGCGGGGGAAAGCAAACGGAAACTCTTCAGGTTGACGGCACGACACTACAGTTCACACTCCGTGGCTCTGCTCTCAACATATTGGCTCTGGTCTTCATGTGATAGACCCAACACAAGGTCGATATTATTCTGCCTTTTCTGATAAGGAAAAGGTCAGAAGAGCTTAGCAGGATCGGTTACCGGTACCAACCCAATATTTATGCTGATAATGAGATGTTTTTATGTAACCAAAAGGCTGTAAGACTGTATCAGTGAATTTATTCAAAATAGGTGTGATTGGAGAGGATTCAGGTAGATTTTAAGGTAGAGATGCACCGATCCACTTTTTTTCACTTCTGATACCGATACCAATATCTGAGGTTTAGTATTTGCCGATTTGATGCAGAAAAACAGCTGAATTGTCTTCAAACTGAAAAATTATACTGAATTACAACTTTATTCAATATGCAGAGTTAATTTGATAACTCTGCATCAGTACGGCTCACTTAAATACACAAACCGCTTCATAAGCTTTGGTCAAACATGTAAAAACAACTTTCATTTGTTCAGTCAGTTCAATTATGAGTAAAACAGTCAAAATAAAATAAATAGTAGAGAAACTGAAACTGATAAAAACAATAAGTTGACTGTCTTAGTCAAACAACAAATCTTTCTTCAAATGGTTCAGAAAGTGAAATCAGAAATTCTAAAAATAATGTAAAAAGAAAAAGCATGATGTCACTCAGAACACATCTCTTTATAGATCGGACATATTTTCACAAATACAAGATTTATCATTTTTTTCAATATCGGGACCATTATATTGGATCGGTGGACCTGTAATTACAGGGTTTAATTAACAGCAGTACCAAATGCAGTTTGGGTCTAACTGGTGTGTGTTCAGAGTGTGTACAGACCTCCTTGTTGGTTCTTATTTAATTGGATCGAAGTAGCAGTTGTATCTGAAGGAAGTATTTCTTTCTCTGGGTTGTTCGTTGACGCTTCAGTCCAGTTTGAATTAGTCCCTCAGTCTCTCTGTGTGGGTTCAGACTGCAATACAGAGGCTAAATATGTAGAGACGTTATCATAAGTTCAGATTCATCTTCAGTCATATTGATCTTGTATTATAAAATACAGAAGAAGAGATGTGTGTGTGTGTGTGTGTGTGTGTGTGATGGATGTTAAAAGTGGGCCAAGATGATCAGCCGTTACCACAGATCTATATTATTGGATTGGACTCTGCCTATTAGCCGCTGTAGCCAGAAGCTAAAGCTATTTTACAAAAATTGGTTTAATCAACTTTGGTGAAGTTTTAGTCAAAGTTGGTTGGGGTGCATGATAACAAAGATGCTGAAAAACAACTCAAAACTACTTGTATTCTGCTTTTCTCACACACACCTGTTGCCAAGGCCACCAGCCAAAAACATCTGACAGCACAGATTACTTTGAGGATTTGCACACCAAAAGAACGTGCAAACATTAAACCACCCCAAAAAAGCAGGACATTCAGTGAGTTAGAACTTTATGTTTTCAGGCTTTATGTTTAAGTGATTAGGAGAACTGGCTCATTTGAACTCCTGCTCTACTGATGGTCTGTCAGACATTGGCTGACAGATTGTCGCCTTATTTTGACGTTAACTGAACCGAAACACCGAATTCCTCATCACTTCTACATGTTAAGGTTTTCAAAGTCAAACTAGCAAGACTGACCTCCCTCCCACTTTCTCCAAAAAAACAAAAGAAAAAAGTTTTCAATTAAAACCTGTTACCGACCTCTTAACTAGATCTTCTTATCTATTTGCCATTGTTTTAACAATTAATAGCAAAACATTTGGCTCTTTTTCCGATTCTTTGATTGATTTAGTCTTTTTCCTGACTCGGTGCTCAGCAACGGCGTTTGTGTGTCGCACAATAGAGGCTTGACGTCCAGTCCAGTAATATGTATTATCAACGGTCTTTCTTTTTTCTGTTTTTTTGTTGTTGTTGTTTTTTCTGCCTCTCACTCAGTATTCCTATAATTATGTAGCTTTGCACCTTTCTGAACTCCTCCAGAATGAATTTCCTTCTAAAAACTCCCACATGAAGTATTCCAAAAGGCACGTGTGAAGAAAGTCCTCCTCACTCTCTAAGTAGCAACAGCAAACCAAACTCCACTGTACAAGAAGTCCCACTAATACTGAACGTTTCCTCTACTGTAGCAGGTCCAAACAGCAGCAACCTCTGTAAATACAACAGATTTCCCTCTATTGGGAAGTGATTAGTAGCGATCAGCAGAAATGTTCTGCAGGATCTACTTCTCATTTGCACGGAAAGCTGTGGTGCTTCCGCTAAAATATGGAATTCCTTTTCATAGACACTTTATTTTTATATCAGGGCTGGTGAAATATTTTCTTAGACAAATTTCCGAATATGAGTAAACCTTTGGTGCAGCAAAAAAAACTATCTTATTATAGTAGAAAAATCCAACCTTTAATTTGAGCACATGATGGGAAGCAAACACGACTTTGAAGGCACATGGATGAAGTTACAGCATTTAATTTCCCTTTGGGATAAACAATGTTTTTTTATTATTATTATTTGAATTCTATATTAAAAATAAAGTTGGATCGCAATCCAGAAGATCTTAGAGGCCTAAAAGAGATGCGTTGATTTGAAAGGGATTATTAGGGAAACCAATAAAGTAACTTTGTTGTAGATTATTTTCTTAAAGTTAAGAAATTAAAGGTTGGATTTTAAAAATAATCGGATTGAATTTATGCCATATAATTTATTTAAAAGTCTTTTCTTGACCAAACGTTCCTGCTGCTGCATCTTATTTTAAATGCATAAAGGGAGGAGCAAAACTGGATCATTTCCCATGATTTATTATGACGATGATGATGTCACCAAACCTTTTTTTTTTCTATTAATCTGTTGCTTGAAGTCTAGAACCATCACTGACCACTTCATCATCTCTTGCTCATCCATTAAACCATGAACAACATCCATCTGCTCTGTCATTGAAACAATTGAACGTGCAAAAGTAACAACAATCCCAATCATGCCATCAGGTTTCTATCAGTTTCTCATTATTATCATATAATAACTCATTCAGTCACACTGTGTGTGTCAGAGAGACAAATCGCTGTAAAACAAGACAACATTTAATGCTGATGATGTAAGAGTCTTCTATAGTCAGTGTGGTTAGTGTTTGCTGCTGTGTGCAGCAGTCTGTCTGTGCTCCCTGCAGAATTCGCTGTAATCTGTTCACTTCCTGTTTTATCCTGGTTTATCGGTAGCAAATAACACACAAGCTTCAAACGATGTTTCATTTTTAATCAGCTCACTGAAAGATATGAAAAGAAAAACTCGCTAAACTTCTCGTCTTCCTACAGCCTCCCTCCCCACTGAAGCGTTGTCGTCGCGGCGACCTGGAAGCGCTCATGTGCGGGACGTGATTGGTCGTTTCCATCTGTTTCTGCAGAGCTGAATTTGTTTTGACAAACCACCGTGACATCTAATTTTTCAGTCCATTATAAAAAAAAAAACTTAAAAAAAAAAAACAACTTTACAGCTTCGTGTTACAAAGTTAAACAACAATTTGCACTTTTCGGACATGATGTGATGTTTGGCCATTTTTTACTTTAATCACGGGCCTTACTGTCGTGACTGTGGCCTTCGTTTTCTCCAATAGGTGCTTAAATTCCAGTTACTGCTGGGAGAAGTTTCAACTTTCTTCCACACATGAAGTCATGACGGAATAAAAATCGTCTTGGTCACGTTTCTGGGAATAAATACACACAATGTTTCGATGCCAAGGTTTGATCACAATGCATAAAAAAAAAAGATTATAAGGTGGCCCGTTCTTAAAAAGCAATGTCACCCCCGAATCATTATTAAGGACCAGGAGACGTCCATATGCTTCCATACGGTGGGCATGTATTGCCTTGTCTTTGAAAACTGTGCCTCATGTTCTGCTTGTGGTCTCGACTCTAATAAAAGTGAACAACGTGGAAAAGCTCTTCCAGCACATATCAAGCAAAGTCGAGGAATAAAATGTGACAAATTTGATAACTTGTGTATGTTGTTCTATATTTTATACTGTATGTGATAACTGCATTATTGTAAGTGTTTGTGAAGTGTGTGTTTTTGTGAAAAGGGAGCAGGGTTGCCTGTTTTGTTGTTGTTTTTTTTTTCAAAACTGACCCAAACTGGTTCACATTTGTGGTCGACGGTCAGGAAATGTTTAGGTTGACGTGTGGCTGCAACCACAACTGAGACGTTGTTTTCCAAACGCGGTATCATTGACTTAATTCAAATAAATATTCTGTTTTTATCTCTGTCTGCTGGTTTGCTTCATTTGAATATTCTTTTCAAATTTTCTTCAACAACCAGATGTGGAAGAGGAAGACGGCAGGAAACGGTTGGAGGATGATGGTGTGGCATGTCTTAATGACTTGTTGTGTAGACAAACTTCATCGCACAATTTTAGTCGTGTTTCTTATTGAAGGAAACAGCAATTGCAAATTTTTTTGACATAAAAAAAAAACTGTTGACAAAAGTTTTGTGCGCCTTTGCAATGGAAACGCAGCTAAAATCAACAATGTCAAATCCTGCGCTGAGGTCCAACAGAACCAGCACCGCGGGTTTTCCTCAGTCTGCAGTTATAAGGATGTCACATTAAGAAATACTTTGAAAAGGGCAAATACAGTACAGAGGTGACCACCGAAAACCTGGACTGAAAGCAGCTGGTCGTTGTCAACTCTTCAAACTGTTTTTTCAATCATTTTGCTGATGAATGGAAAGTTGGAGGTCGGACTTATCAAGAATATAAAGACCTTTATAATTCTCTTCACGTTATACTAACTTGGCCTGAAGCATGTTACCTTTGTGTTCAGGTCTGTGTCCTTGATCATCCTTTTACCAACAAGTTTGCCAACCCTTGAACCCGGTCTGGTCATTGTCTGGGCTGTATTTGGGCTCAGAGGCGGCTCGGTTCGCCCTGAAAGGCTCCCTGAAGGCAGGAGCTGCTTGTCTCTGAAAATAGCACACTGGAGGCATGGGGGGTGAAGGGTGAACATGTGCTTCAGCCAGTGCTTGTAAAACACAGATTGTGTTTGTGTAGGCTTGCAGACATTGCAACATCGTCCGACCGTCGCTGCCTCTCAGTTCTGATCTGACCTGTGTCCAACCGGAGACTTGGAGAGGTCGCGCTGACCCAGGACAAGAAAACACTCATATCTCATAAACAAGGTGAGCGAGTCGACATGTTTGTAGTTGTTGCGTGTGTTCTCTATTTCTTTATACGTGCTTTATGACTCGTCCGTAAGTTGCTGGCGTTGGCCTCACCTTGTTATTCTGCAGTTTTGTTGTTTGGGACTGTGACGCTTCCACCAGTACATTGGGTTCTGATTGTTACTCATTTACCTCAACATCAGGACTGAAGCACAGATGGGGGATTTAAGGCAGACCATCGGGGTCATGTCACAGACCATATGCCCGAGTTCTGCAGCTGCGTCCGAGGAAGACCTGAAGACTCCAGATGGAGGGCAGCGAGAGAAGATGCAGATGAAGAGGGAGATTTCCCTCCTCAACGGGATCTGCCTCATAGTGGGCAACATGATAGGCTCCGGGATCTTTGTCTCGCCCAAGGGGGTTCTGATGTACAGCGGCTCCTTTGGATTGTCTCTGGTGATCTGGGCCCTCGGCGGCTTTTTCTCGGTGTTTGGAGCCCTTTGCTACGGCGAGCTCGGCACCACCATCCCCAAATCCGGAGCCAGCTACGCCTATATCCTGGAGTCGTTCGGCGGCTTCCTGGCTTTCATTCGTCTGTGGACGTCCATCCTGCTGATCGAGCCGGCCAGCCAGGCCGTGATATCGCTCACATTCGCTTTCTACCTGGTGGAGGCTCTCTACCCAACCTGCCAGCCGCCGTACGACGCGGTGCGACTCCTCGCTGCAGCCTGCCTCTGTAAGGATGTGTGTGTGTGTGTGACTTTGAAAATGCCGCTCATCTGTCAGCTGCTCCCTGAGCCAATTCTTTCATTGCTCTTCTGCATGAGATGATGGTGTGACTTGAGTAGATGCACAAAGCTTTGGGATGCTCATAAACATCACAAAGTTGAAGTTTTTGTTTTCATTTCCATGAATTTGATTTATTGTGTAATATTTGGGAGGGCAGGGGCCAAGTGGGGATTGGGTTTGGAGCAGAAGGAGGGATTTGCCCAGTACGCCGTTCATGCAAGGACCAAAGATAAAATTACAATGTATAAAGGGATAAAAAAAAAAACATAAATATACACATTTTATCAAAGAAAAATTAACCATACTATACTTAAAATTTTATAGAAAAGTCTCTATTGTCATCACAGCATTTAAAACTAACTTTTTTCATGTTTCCACTGGTGGTTATGACACTTATTCTGTCATGAGAGGTTCAACTCAGCCAGGATGGAAGCAGTGTTGTAACATTTTTGGCTTTTCTATTACAGTTGAGTTTTATTTTGCTGTGACTTTTTGTTTGTCTAATTCTGTTAGATTTAATAAGTTTTTAGAGAGTGTGTGCTAGTTTTTCTTAAGTCATTATTTATGAAATATTTCATTTCAGTTGACCTTTCATTAGTCATGGTGGCAGACTTAGTTTTTTTCATACTCTGGGTAATTTTTAGGTGTAGAATTCAAAAAGGTCAAAGTATTAAATTGTGCTCATGTATACATTTACTGGCAGAACAAACTTTTAAGAGTGTCATAAAACACAATGTGGAGTCATACAGAGATGAGACGTAAAGCAATTACACCTGCAGTGAGGAAGAACTTTATGCTCACAAACAATAGCTGTTGCATGAATTCTGTGGATTGTTCCTCAGCTTAAATATGAGATTCCTGTTGCTTCATAATCCTGGGTCAAAGGAGTTGAGCTTCTTTCCAGTAATCGTTGCGCTGGTTTCAATTTGCTCAACATAAAACGATACAGGCGGGTTTTCGGTCACAGTTGCGGCTTCATTAAGCAGACTCACACTCTGCCCTGCAGAATGCCACAGTGTGTTTAACAGCTTTGGAGACCCCAGGAATCAGAAGCTCTATTTAGGCCACAGGGCTGCAGCGTCATGAGCCGCTGTACCAGGAAAAAGGTTTCTGTTTCCGTAACCGCACACTCGCTGCGACTCGCTGCAGACTCACATTCTCAGGCTTCTGACAGCCGGGCCCCGAGTCGGGACACCACCACCTTAGATGGGCCCCCACCAAATGTTACTCAGTAACTACTGGAGGATTTGCTTTATGTTACTCTCCTCTTCAGTTCTGTTCTTCTCATTTTTTATATATTTTTTGCTTTCCTGCTTGCATCAGGTTCTAGATAATGTTGCGATGGAGATAACAGTGACACACAAATCCACAGTTAATGTTTGGCTCTGGGAAAAAAATAAACCTCACCGAAAACCTCTTGGTTTTTCCATCAAGTATTGACCTCTGAACTCTTCCTGAGATAAAAGTTTGTGTCACTGCAGCGCATCTCATCACTGTCCTGAACATGCAGACTGTAACCTCTGCTTCACTGCAGAGGTTACAGTCAATGCTCCCAAAATTAGATGTGCTTCATTAGTAGTAGCTCCCTTCATGTTGCTATGATCTTGTGACTATACTGTCAGCTCCCATTGCTGAATAAAGTTTAAAATCATCTTCTGTTACCTCCAGTAGCAGTGCGTCGCTGTGTGGCGTCAATGTTCTTCTTCTTCTTCTTCATGCGGGTCGCTTCAGGGTCCTGAACCGTTCACACGTAGATCTAGAGGTGGTTGCTTTTATTTAGTGGCATGAACAAGCACACAAAAGAAAAAGCAGAGAAAGACCTACGGCTGGTTGCAGAACAGTTGATTTTCATCCCCTCATTATTTAGTACGGAAACCAAAATGACGTAAGTTTAACATCTTGGCTATGAGGGCGACTTATTGTGTTCTTTTGCTGCTCCAGGTATATTGATCTTCATAAACTGTGCTTATGTGAAGTGGGGGACTCTGGTGCAGGACATCTTCACATATGCAAAGCTCATGGCCCTGTTCCTCATAATCATCGTTGGACTCCTGAAAATAGTGGCAGGTAAGTAAAAAGCAGGAAAGGAAACAAAAAATAAAAAAAATCACCTGCTTTAATCTTTGGGGGTTTTTTTCTGTAGGAGACATAAATAGTTTTGAGAATCCGTTTGAGGGGTCCTCAACCGATTCTGGAGCCATAGCTTTGGCTCTCTACTCAGCGCTGTTCTCCTACTCAGGCTGGGACACACTCAACTTCGTCACAGAGGAAATTAAGAATCCTGAGAGGTAAACTGAGCATGCCCAGGATCAGTCATGTTTGCCATCATTTTGCTTCAACTCAGACTGAAATCCCTGGGAGACAGTGCTGCATAAGGAAACTGTGACTTTTTACACTTTTACAAGAAATAGTTGCTAAGTCAGTTGGGCTTGTTCAGTACATCAGCATCAATGTGATACAAAGTCACACTCATAAAGGCCGTTGCCTGCATCAATATGCCGGATCATCAGCAATTCCCTTCTAAATTCAGAGGGATTGGTAGCAATCCCTTTGACTCAGCAAGAGATATTTACAGAATACAATAGCAGCAACGCCGCAACTCTACAGTGGTCGTGTTGTTCAGTGCTAATAATAGTCATCTTGCAACCTGAGGCCCCGTTTACAAGGAGCTGGTTTTCAAAGAAACCATAACAGTTGCACGTCTGCAGTGATTGGAGTCTCTCACGTACACCGGGACTTTCTGGATCCGAGTCTCAGAGTCTCACCAACACCCAGAGGTGTGAAAGCGTACACATGCAAAACGCATGGATGCAGGGTTTGTTTTACGCATGACGAAAAGCGTTGTGCTGTGTGTGCTACTTGCCCTGTACAGTTTAGCACAATGCTACATGAACATTGGAGATATGTTACTGTTTTCTAAATGAGGTGGAAGATAATAGTCAGAAGCACAAAAGACTTTCGACGACGTAGTAAAATCACACCGCCATCGAGTGCCCTGGCATGACAACTGGTGCAGATTAAAGGTGTTTTGGAGGTTTTGCCTAATTATGGAACTTTTCTCCTATCAATCAATATCAATACATCACTATTAAACATAAATATATAGCTCAGGAGATGCTGAGACCTGGAAAGCTGCAACTAAGTCCAAGTTGTGTCATGTGTTACAGTACTTTTCTGTACATCAGTTCCTGTGGCTCTGTTGCAGGAATCTTCCCCTGGCCATCGCCATCTCCATGCCCATCGTGACCATCATCTATCTGTTGACCAACGCCGCATACTATGTAGTTCTAGACATGCCGTCCCTGCTGGCCAGCGACGCTGTTGCTGTGGTAAGAAGCAAACAGTCACCCGAGAGAGATAAGTCCCACAGATGCTAAAAATAAAGCTGCTCTAGTTGGGGATGAATGCGGTGGGGCAACCAGGACATTTTTGTAGAGGTGCCCAGGCTGTGAGTCTTACTGACATTTTGGCTGGATGGTTCAGGTTTCATTGTTGTTTTTCTGCACGTCTCATGCTTTAGGGTTTACGCCAGAGTTCCAGGATCCTGGTAATCACAGAGGGTGAATAAGATTTGCTCCTGTTAAGGTTGTGAACATTAACAAAGGCATAAAGAAAACGGATCTTGAAAGCTACCCTAAACTTTAATGATCAGCTCAGCCCTATTTTTCTGTGGAATATGATCCCAAATTGTTCTAGGAAAATGTCAGCAAGGAAGAAGGCTACCTAAGTTTTTTTTGTTGTTGTTTTTACTGAAGTTAGTTCAGCTAATAGGTAGTAGGGAGTAGAGTGTTCTGTATTCTTAATTGAAAAACACTAAATGGTATATTTGTTATTTAATTAGTAAAGTAGGATCCTTTTTGAAAGAACTGAAAAATTCTTGGCTTGTCCTGCTGTGAAAAATGGTACAATGTGTATTATTGGAGTATCAGTTTTCCATCCTTCATTGCCCCCCGCAGACGTTTGGAAACGCCGTGCTCGGTCCGTTCCACTGGATCATCCCGATATCGGTGGCCATGTCCTGCTACGGAGGACTCAACGCTTCCGTCATTGCTGCTTCACGGTACTCAGAAAGCATGGAGAAGGTGCTGACATCGAGTTCATGCGGTCAAAGGAACCAGTAGTATGCTCTGCTAATCTTTCCGTTTGCGGATCGCAGGCTGTTCTTTGTCGGGGCTAGAGAGGGCCACCTCCCCGACAGCCTGAGCCTGATCCACATGAACCGCTACACACCCATACCGGCGCTGCTGTTCAATGTGAGGAGCACACCGCCATGTCGCATCCAAACAAATGAACACCTGATCAAAATGCTGAAAAGAGAAAAAAAATAAGACATCTGAATGTTTTTTTAACTGTGGCTTTCAGGGGATCATGGGTCTGATCTTCCTGTGTGTGGAGGATGTGTTCCTGCTCATCAACTACTTCAGCTTCAGTTACTGGCTTTATGTCGGTCTGTCTGTGGCCGGCCTCATCTACCTGCGCATCAAACAGCCAGACAGACACAGACCAGTCAAGGTACGCCATGCTAGATTGCATCTTAATGATCTTACTTACTTATGAAGTATATGTTCCTTAATCTTCTTACATTGCTGCAAATCCTAATAGTTGGCAATCGATCCAATTGATGGCTGCAATCCATAGTTGTCTTCTGTTCTCAACAAAAGGTTTATGATAAAATTAATCATAAATTAATCATGTTTGTACAGCCGACACAAACATTTATTGATTATACACTGAAACCAAATAAGATATATTTGATTTCTGTCTGTTTTTTAACAAGTGAGACAGGAGTTTACGCACACATAGGTCGTTTTGGCATCCGTCATGTCAGAGTGGCCGCTTTCCTTAAGAGTGTGTCGTCACATACCCTTGTATGCACTACAAGTCAGTACTAACAGACGAGACGTGAGGCTATTTGATGCAAGACCAAAATTGTACTATCAACATTATTTTTGATCATTGATCAAATACAGCTTCAGATATTCGACAGGATGAAAGAGAAGTTGCAGTTTTTCGGTCAATGTACAAAGAATCAGAAATCCTCCACAGTGATGTGAGAGATTGACAAAGTTCTACAAGAAACAAATACTGGGAAGGTGTTGCAGGAGTGATTCTATGAGCTGTTGTTTAGTTCTTCTGTGTTCCTGTCTCTGCAGCTCAGCTTGTTCTTCCCCATCGTTTACTGCATGTGCAGCCTGTTCCTGGTCATCGTCCCTCTGTATGGAGACACCATCAATTCTCTCATAGGGATCGGCATTGCTCTGTCAGGTGTGCCCGTTTACTATGTCACCATTTACCTGCCTGAGGAGAGGAAGCCCCGATTCATACGCAAACTCAACAGTAAGCTTTATGTTTCCATTTGCATGTAAGCCTAGCAATATAAACAGTAAGGATGTTTGTGTTTTCCTGAATATTTCTTTGTTTCTCAATGTTTTTTGATTGGTGGTTTGAAGACACAAGTCAACATAGTGGCAATTTTCTCATTAAACAAACAATGAGCTCTGCAGCGTGCAGAAAGAGCTGGTCCACCAGCTGGGTCACCAGCTGGGTCACCAGCTGGGTCATCATCTGGGTCAACATCTGGGTCAACTCTGTGGGACGGCAACCAGTGTTTGTTACAAGACAGTTGATAGGGTTGTGTTTAACAGTTTGGCATCAACTGTTTGTCCAAGTTAGCCTGGCCAATACATTTCTATGCACCTCCACTCAATTTTCTGACATTTGTTTCATTTCTACAGTAGAATTTCAGCCTAGCCAATAAGCAAACAGAAGAAAGAGTCGTGAAGGTTGACAGCGAGTTTCTGCACGATTTTTTTGAATTGTAGTTTGCCTGTGATTATGATTTGACAAAGGCAGCGTCGTGAGCGAAGCCATTCGGTCCATGTTGGCCACACTTCCAAAAGCCGTGCAATTAAAGGGGAATGTTTAAGACATTTTATTGCTGTCAAAGATGTAGGTCAGCTCGGGACTTCTCTCTTCGCAGTGGGTTGTTGTTGTTTACAGCTCACGCAACTTGCAGTAATCTTCATAGCAGTATACGCTTTACTGCCAAACGTTAGTGATTGGGTAAAATTGGATCTTGTCGTTTCAAACAGAGTCAGGCCCAGAGTCGCTCCTCAGTGGCCGAGAGCCCAGACCCTCTGGACGAATCAAAGTGTAGAACAAGGATCTGGTTTTTACCAATAGTGTGTTTATTCACATCAAGCACTGCTGCAATGAAGAAATAACACACACAAACAGACTGCACTGTTGTTGTTTTTTTACTGACAGAGAAATTACATTTTTTGACAGTTTGCATATTTGTTACACATTTGCCACACTCAGATTTCTCATGTCGTACATGTTTCTGACATTTCCCTCTCTTTCTGTGTCTCTCTCCAAGCCCTTATCACCAAATACACACAGGTGTTGCTCTACTGCTGCCTGACTGAGTTCGACACTGCAACAGAAACGCCGGAAGGCGGCAAATCACAGTGAGATGCGCGCGGACCACTCCATTCATCCGGCTGCTTCCTGGGCCCTGTGTGGACAGCGTGTCGGTGTTTGTGGGAATTACTTCTCGTCAGGCCTGCATTTACAAAAAAGAAAAAAAAAGGCCTAAAACCTTAAAAGACTCACTGAGAAGGAGCGACTTCCAACGCGATGATTTATTTTCTTTTTCAACTTTTGTATGTTCTGAGAATATCTTCTGTGAGGATCACATGGAAACATTGTAATACATAAATGTGTAGCTGAAGCACACGTTGTTGACACGCTGCGTACAGAAAGGCACAGAATTCAGTCATCTGTCTGGCAGGAACACATCAGATCGTTTCATCTTCAGGCACAATTTTACGTCCTATTTTAAAAGAATCGTTATTATTAATCAAAAGCAGCTCTAAACAGATGGGATTTTAGCTTTCTAGAAGTTTATTCCAGATATATGGAGCACAGAAGCTGAATGCTGCTTCTCTGTGTTTGGAGATGCTGAGCAGAACCAGGAGACCTGATTGGTCCAGAAAGGTTGGTCCAACAACAACCACACAGTAACAGCATCATTAGATGAATGCTGAGCTAATTAATAATTTAATAACCCGCTAAAGAATGATGAAGTGTCTGTGTGCCTGTTTTTAGTGAGTTCTGTGTCAAAAGGATCACTGGAAGGTTTTTGGTTTTCACTAGGACTCTAAATATGGAGCACAAGAAAACAAAACAATGTCAACAGGCTAAATAAAGAACTAAAAAGAACTCTTCAGAAAATAATACAAAATTAAATCACGTTATACGTTTAATTTGAGTCGTTATTATATACATTGCCATATTTTAGTCAGATCTCCGTCCAGCAGGGGGCGCTGGCTGAGCTGGGAAAACCCGGTCAATCAAACGCAGTGAAATCATTGCGTGTTGTGCGTGTTGTGCGTGTTGTGCAGCAGTGACCACAGCTCTAATTCATAGATTCCACATGTGTTTAAGATATGAGGAACAGGACGAAGTGAAGAGCCTCTCCAGCTCGATATGTTTCTATTTTCAGTTGCCGAGTTTCTTCCAAAACAACAGTGTGTGACTTTAGCTGTATGCTACCTCCAAATAAAAACAAATAACTGCAACATTGTGTCATTAAAAGGAAGAAGCATTTTCTATTTTCAGACGGATGTATTTTGTCTTGAATTTGGTTTCTTTGTTAGTCAGACGACATTTAGAATATTGTTGCACAGACACACACACTGTGAGCGCCTGACTGGCTCATTGTGTGATGCACTGTGTACTGACGGTCAAAATGGCAGAAAAAAGAATCAAAAGAAACACTTTTTTTTTAAATCTCTTAATTCAATACTTTATTTGCTGAAGAGTTACTGTTTGTTTTCGATTCCTTTATTTGCAAAAGTAATCATTGTGTTTAGATTTGTTTTGTTAGGATTTTATATGAGACAAACATAAACTACAACATCATTGTGAAGTTAAAAGAAAGGATTCATAAGTCTTTATATACAAAAATCTAATATATATATATATATATATATATATATATATATATATATATATATATATATATATATATATATATATATATATATATATAATTTTTTATATAAAAAGTCAAATGAATGCATAATGTTTTACGCAAGCCGTTGGAAACGAAACACATGTTGTGATCAGATCGATACGTGGTGGTGGCTGCATCATGCTGTTATTCAATATGTGTAAGGAAGTTAATGAGAGAAAGAAGGTAAAGTAAGTGACGTTAATTACTGAAAGAAAGAAAAAAACTCATATGGTGCAAAAGAGTTGAGACTGGAGCTGAAACCCTGCAGCTTCATTCAACCATAAACCTTCAGCCAGAGCGACAATGTTAGAACGGACCAGTCAAAGTGCAGCTCTAAATTCCACTTAAATGTCCAAAATTGCTGTCCATGAAATCTCTCCATCTAACCCAACTTTGCTTGAGCTGTTGTGAGAATAAGAAGAGGCAGAGTGTTAGTCTCGATGTGTGCAAAGAGAAATACACCCAACATGTTGCGATTATAACTGCAGTGGAAGTTCTGCAAAAATGTAGACCTTAATTCAAATACACAGGAGACTTCTATGGAACAAAAAAATTGTATCCTTAAGAGAAGCTGCAGACGGCTGAATCAAAGCCCGGACAGATCCACTTGTTGCTGAACTGTTTGTATCCTTCGGCGTCGGTCAGCTTGCTTCCTGGAACAGAGAAGAAACCCAGAACCTCATCACCGGATTCCTCAGCAGGAGTCGCACAAGCAGACAGATTAATGGTCTGAGGAGACACGCTTCAGTCACCGTTGATGAGGTTCTGCAGACTGCAGAAGTTGGTGCCGTTGTCGGCCGAGTTTTTGGACCCTTCGGACGTCGCCTCGCCCTGTTGAGCAGAAAACATTGAGGGCAGCTGATTGAGGAATCTCAGGAAGACCGTTGGACTTCCTCTGATTTACCGCGTCAGACAGTCTTCAGTCTGTCGAAGCTGCATCATGACCGCAACAGATGCTGTTTGGTGTGACTGGAACTGAAACCTCAGCTTTGACGTCCATTTTCAGGCGAATTTGGGGGCAGATCCGACTGAATGCGGATAGTTCTGAATTTTAAAAGCAGGATTTTGTTTAAAAAGGCTGTAAGCAGTTAACAGCAGTTAACATCCGGCTATTTTTATTCAGAATAAGGTCAGAGGATACCGAGACCAACACACTCTTCTATCATGTTAAAAGTGGGGCAAAGACTCTAACGCATTAATTTTGATTATTTAATTACACAGGTTATAATATGTTAAACATTTTTTTTTACTGCACTTAAGCACATTTTTGCTCCAATCAGAACCTCATTTCCAAAAAAAAAACTGACAAGCAAACATTCACCAAGCCAAGGTTATTACAGCCAACTGAATGAAAACTGGAACACCTTAAAGTTTGAACAGCTGATGCTTTTAAATGAGCTTAGCTTTTAACAGAAACACCCTAAACATATCTCTTCATCAAAAAAAGAATTAAATTTTACACACTTCCGAGTCAACACGATGACATTGTCGGTTAATTAAATGCATACGACCACGACAATGTATGTTGTCCAGAAACGAGGACGCTTCTGCAAGATTCTTCCTTCCTTCCTCCTGCTCCCTTTTTGGTCAAGCGTGTTTGCCAGTTAACAAGAAAAATTGCTAAGTTGAGCAAATAAACCGGTCGATTTATCAGCCTGAAAGGTTTTCTGCCATCACTTACCGTCACTCTGCAGATGGTGGACTGCTCCAGAAGAAACTGGAGGATGTTCAGCGTCTTGGTTCTGGGAGACGTGTGTGTGGCCTTGATCAGATACGGAGCTGAGGACACAAGCTGGACAGCAGACACTGCAGTCAGTCTGGTCTGCACATTTTAAACATCTGCACCCAAAGCCAAAGGCTTTCACGGGTTGTGGTGAGACTGTCAGTGTGATTCTGTAATCCTTTGCAGATAAGTTTTTGTTCCCCAGAACAACCTGGTTTCTTTTGTCTCTTTCTAAAATCATTTGCTCATTTCAGTTCTTATCATATCATCTGTGAAAGCACCTGTAATCAAGAACATGTCGTCAGCACACTGACCACTACAAAAGTTCAAGTCAAGTCGTTGTATTTTACCCCTAAATAAAATCCAGTAAATTATCCTTCTACTTGTAGCTAAGCATAAATCCAGAGAGGAAGCTGGAATTGAACTCATGACCTTCAGATTGTGAACTCTTTCTCTAATTAGTCTGACTAATCAGAAACTTCTGATTTCATGAGTCAGATTGCTATTTTGATTGTAACAAACAACGTGGATCTCCTCACTTAATGGACAGAAAACTCGACTCGGTGCGTTCTGATTGAACAATGTGCTAAATGACAATGTTCTGACCTCGTAGGAGCACTTCTCCCCTTCATCCAGACAGCTTCCCTTCACCTGCCAGGTCTGGATCTGGTTCACCAGCCTGCCGCTAACGTTCCCGCAGTCAATGCCAAACAACCTGCCGAGCAGAGAACGGTGACCAGAAAAGGCAACAACGGTGTTAAATCGATCAGATCTTCACTTCTGGAAGGAGACGGGAAGGAGAAGAGATGCTGCAAACAACTCTGTGTTAATCCCTCACAGCTGGGATGGAGGCCATAAAACATTTCCACTCGAATCAAGAAACAGAATCAGCCTCACCATTTGATTTTACATTGTGCGGTGCTGCCGGACAGAGAGGCAGTCACTGCCGCCGCCGCAACCAGAGCCGAGGTGAAGAAGAAGAAGAGTCTGGAGTCCATGGTGAGGTTCTGTCTCCGAGTCCTCAGGTCAGACGGACCTGGAGGCAGCTGGGTCACAGGAAACAAACTGGAAACAAGAGGCAGAACCCAGACAAGTTACAGGGATTTCTACAAGCGTGAAAAAAAAAAAAAAACACGTGGGAAGGTTGGATGTTCCTGGTGACCTTGGCTGCAACTAATTCACACCTAATGTGGAACTGATCAGAAGAAAAAGGTCAAGAGGGCAGCGAAGTAAATTATCCAGGCCAGAGGTCAAGTGCTGGTGGAACAACAGAAAACAAAATAAAAGAACTTTGTTTTTTAGGAAATATTTATAGAAGAAAGTGGAATATGTTGAATGTTGTGTTATTGCATCAAATATTAGGAGTGTATGCAACAAAATAAAAGTTGGTATCTTTGGTTGAAAAGCCATGTTTGCCTAAACGCAGCATGTCAGGACAAACACCTCATACCAACTGTTGAAGCTGCAGTATGTAACTTTCTTTTTTTTAAATACATGTTTAGCATCTATTAAAAAAGGTGGCGGGTCGTAAACACCTCGATGTCACCATATTGTGACATCGTTGCCCAGTCACAATTTTTAAATCTTTTTCATCCTGCAACACTTTTCCATCCAGGTTTGTCCTGGATTTAGCTTCGCCTGTCTTAGCACCAACTATGACCTGCCGAATCCCCGAGGCATGACGCTGCCACCACCATGTTTCCACATTGGAGATGGCGTGTATCCCTTCCCCTTCCTCAATCAGGTGACTTCTGAAGGCAACTGGTTGCACTAGATTCTGTTTATGGGCTGAAAAGCACTTGTTTTTTTCTTGTAGGAAACAAACCAGTCAGTGTACATGTTCACATAATCTATTCATCACGCTGCTGAAATGTGCCGTTGAGCTTTTTTTTCTTGAAATGCAGTTGTCTAACTAATCTCATGAACTCAAGTCCTGGTCGGAAATCAGTTATCGTTCCCACAGTAATCCTGGATTCACAGTTGCAGGAATGAATTATGACGCTGTGAGAATGAGTCACCTGATGCCAAAGAGCCTGACCTTCAGGAGAGAGAAAAACGCTTTCTGCTCGCTTACTACTAGACTGACAAAAATTTTCAAAGCCAAACACCCGCCCCCCCCTCAAGAACTCGGCTGCATTGTGTGGCGTCCTCACTTCATCTTCAACTCACACACACAGCAGTGTGTGCTATGGAGTAACTCCACTTCATAGAACACAGTTTTAAATTACTGAGAGACAAAAACAGAAGCCAGTGTCTAAGGGTGAGGCAGAACTAGAAGACAATCATTTCTAAATACAAAAGCAGGAGTCATGGAGCCACACAGCCTGACTCCTGGTGAACTCTACTTACCTGGAACTTGAGGAGTTCCTGTCAAATGACCCCCACTGGGAGGGAGACACAAAGGGAAACTGACACCACATGGACACCGACAATCTGGGACATTCATTTTTTATCGTTCAGTGTCGGCCATTTCTTCTGGGTCCCGAGAGCACTGCTTTAAATCTATGAAATGTTTCACATTTTGTCACTTTGTGAACACAAACTTCTGTGTATTTTACTGGAGTTGTATTCCACCATTTTGGAAATTGGAAAGAAAAGTGTGAATACTGTTTTTTCATTATTATTATTATTATTATTATTATTATTATTATTATTATTATTATTATTATTATTATTATTATTATTATTATTATTATTATCATCATCATCATCATCAACAAAAAAACAGTGAGCATTTGTCAACATTTCCTTCTAATGTCAATCTCCTGAATAAAGTCCATGAAATAAAATTCTCTGTGTTTGCAGCTCCATTTAAGTATAAATGCAGCTGTTCCAAAAATAACAGCTGCTTTTGTTTTTGCCTATTTTAGTGCAAATATCTCTGTACACTTGAAATAAGATAAAACTAACTTACAAGCAACATATAGGAGCTTGTTTTGGGTCAGTAACTTCTTAATATTGATGAAAAAGTATTAAGTCCACTGGCAAATAATTTCACTTTTAACATGGGGAAAATGTTTTATTCTAAGTGACAACATCTGCCAGTGGGGCTAGAACTTCTTTAAATATTCATCATTAAGGAATTACTCACTTAAAACAAGCTGTCAAAGTAAAAACCCAATTCAGAATCCCAGCCCCCAAAAGTCTTGCACTATTGACTCTGAGAGGATGACTTTGAAAAGCACTCCACACTTTTCAGCTTTATAATTAGAAAAAAAGAAACAACTTGAAAATCATGTCTCATTTTCCTTCTACTCTACAGCCAGGCATTGCTTGGTAACGTATCTGAGCTGAATGAGGAATTACATGACACTTAACCAGCTCTCTATCAATAGTTCTGCTTTTGTTTTGCAAGATTCAGTTGGTGGTGTGACAAGAAAGTACAGAGATAAACTTTGTTTAATTTCCCGTCATCAGGTTTACATCTAAAACATGACACTTACTTAATTATCAGTGAATAAAGCTTAAGAAGTGCATTAGAAAGAATGATTCTTATTTAATTTTTTTTAAGTTAATGCCCATATGGAAATGAGCAATCGCAGCTAAAGGTGCGGTTTCAGACTTTGGTTACGTTCCTCAGGGTCAGATTGAGATCAGCGTGTGGTTGACGTCCCCGCAGGAGTCCCTGAAGCTGGAAGACAGCATGCATGAGAGCTCTTGGATCTAAACCACACCTGACTGTGTATGTGTGTGTTTTTATTTTTTTATAAAGATAATTAATAGTTTACCATCTTTACGACTTGTTCGAGCATGGTTTTATCCAGCTCCTGGTGGGATTGGATAGTAGCCTGAAAGAATACTAGCACTGCTACAGAAACACAACGAACAGGTTTTAAGAGAAGGTTTCCTGTTTGTATGGGATTCATAATAAAATCACGCTCACCGCCGTCTGCTTTATTCTCAGAAGGAAGGACCGGTGCTGACCCAGTAGGAGAATCTGTCACATCCAGGGTCGGAGAAAAGGACACTCAGAAGACACAGACATCCACTTCAGTTTGGCAAACTGCTCTGTAATATCACATTTCCACTGATTGTAAACAGCTGTGCTCACCTGTCTGTGTGGCTCCTGAGGCCAAACAGCTGATAAACAGGAGCAAAAGCAACATGCTGAGGTCAAAATCCAGTCAAAAGGAAACAGATCCTTCTGGTCCTGTCTGAGCGTCTGGCTAGGATTTGGTCTATTCAAGGACGCTGTGCCTTCACAGCAGGGTGTGTCTCATAAGAAATAAAGAACTTCCATGAAGCTTCATCACCATGAGGGTGATGTGCTTTACAGAATTATGTAAAGGAAATGAAAGTTCTGTTTAACGCTAAGTGTTGAAGAGGCAGTATTATGCAAAATCAACTTTTTTGAGCTTTACATGTTATGATGTCATTCTTTCATCAGAAAATATACCTGGACTGTTGCTTTGATTCTTTCATTCATGTTTGAGAAGTCCTTTGATTCAGCTATGAAAAAGGTCTAGATGGACCTAGCTCCGCCTTCGAGATGAAGCTCCTCCTCAGAGATGAGGTTTCCAAGTTCGCCACAGATTTGCATGACCACAGATTTCAGACAAGATCAACATTGGCCCCTAACACCAGCTAACACCGGCTAACACCAGCTAACACCAGCTAACGCCAGCTAACACCAGCTAACGCTCTCTTGTGAAATTATTAAAGATGTTTCAGGTCAAACTAGAGACAAAGAGGCTGGAGCTAATCAAAAAGAGTTTGTAGTAAACAAATTGCAGTGAATAAATGATGTCACTGAAGTTATTTATGCACTTTCTAGCCTTTAGCAACTTGAAATAAAAACATTAAAGAAAAGATTGATCTTTTTACTTTTATTGGTGTGTCTTTGCGTTCAAAAGATAATAACTCAGAAAACTACAGCAACCTAAACTGGGCAAAACATATTACATATTTATGAACAATGCACAAAACTTCACATCTGTAAGGAATGAAAAATCCATGTAAAATCAACATTTTTGATTTTACAAAATTAAAAAAAATGAGCTTTATCTTAGTGGGAGGTCAGAAACACATCCAGCTACGGCTTCTTCGTCTTTTTGCTGGAGTTGCTGTCACTGCTGCTTGGAGAGCTGGGACTTTTAGGAGAAGAGACAGGATAGGCACCACTCAGATCCAGGTCCAGGGTCACCGTTTTTACCCAAGGCGAGACAGACGCTGAATGGCTGCTGCTAGATGATGACGCAGAAGACCTAGAAGACATCAGGAAGACACCAAGTTGTCAGAGCCACTCATCAAAGTCATGAACATCAAAATGATTGAGAGCTTTAATCGTTTATTTGAAGGGTGTTGGTTTTCTTAAAAAAATTGATAATACTTAAGTTTTGATTTCTTGTGGATTTAATATTTGGTTGCGCAGTAGAAGCAGAAACAGGATATATACATGTTTCAGAAAGTCGAATTTAAGACTGTTCATACACACACTGAATGGAATTTAAGACTGGAAAAAAAATATATAAAAATGGGAGTGGTTGTATTACAGTCAAGGATAACAAAAATTGTGAAATTTTCTGGGTCTGTTTGTAGATTTCTGCAATTACTCCCATAGTGCCATGCTTAAAAGGTTCTTTTTACCCAGATCATACATGGATTGGCAACAAAAGTGAGCCAGTGGTGAAAAATAAAGGGGCTGTCCACCCAACTGCTGATAAATTTGCACTTGAATGGAGTCGATACATGCAAGACGTCGTAGCTTCCTCTCCATTCGTTTCCTGTGGAACTTTCACAGTACGTCCTACTTGTACATATCCATTCAAAGCATCCCAGAGTTCACGTGGTGAATGACTTTGTACTGGTGTAGCACCTTATCAGGTCCAGAGGACTTGAAAGCGACTCACACTACAGTCATTCACCCATTCACGCACACACTGATGGTGGCAAGTTACTTGTTGCATGACGTAAACTATTAACGCCAATTTTCCTAAGTAGGGCCGCAGTTCTCTCATCTGAAAGCAAACCTAATGTCTATTTATATCAGACATTTGCAACACAAACCACAGAAATAAAGAGTGACCTGGAAGACAGGGAGCTTTGAGCAGAGCTTATCTTGAAGCTCCCCTGGCTGCTGGTGGTTAGAGGTGGACACTGAATATTGGCCTGAGAGAAACAGAAGAGAGGAGCAGTAAACTTTAATGGTCCTGTCATACTAGATTCCTGAATCATGCTAAATAATGCAGAGCGTCTTATCTGCACCTTCTGAAAGCATTCCTCCAGAACAGGTCTGAGATCAGGATTCTCCATCATGGCCTTATTCAACAGATTGTTGATAGATTTGTTGAAGTGCTTTAACTCTTTCAGTTTGATGTCTTGCTCCTCAACAGTTTCACTTTGAGTGCTTTGTGCTGAGCGAACTTCTCTGGTCAGTTTGGTGAACTAAAATAAAAAACAACAACAAAGAAAAACAACAGACAATAATTTATAATAAACCTCAGGAATTTGACTGATAAAACATTTTTAAAATCTATCCAAGACTTTAGCAGAATAATGTCAGGTGAAAGTTCAAATAAAGTGTTAGGAAGTTCTACTGGACAATTTATTTAGGTACTTGTGAATACATATCCAACTCTTATCTATTATCTATTTGTATTCTGTAATTTGTATTTTGTGATAGATAGACAGAAAATCAATGTGTTTGACACAGATATTGGAAACCTGTATCTTATTCTGTTCCAACTGCCGGTACAGATGGATGTAAAAAGTGTTTATCAAAGTGTCACAACTTCTTCTCCAACCTGATTCAAGACTCTGACAACTCTCCCTTGCAAAGAAGCTGCTTCTTTGTTCACATTAGAAATAAGAAGCTGTAGGTGATGTATCTTTTCCTTCTCCACCTTCTCTTCTAGAATGAGGCTCTCCCAGGTGCTGTTCATTTCCTGGAAATGGAGGCAGATAGAAAGACACACACAAAAAAAAAAAAAGGCACAAAGGCTTTCACCCAGAGATTCACACCAGATGGGTGTGACATGAGAACCAGAGCTGGGCTATTGAAGTCATGATATTCTCAGCAGGATTTTGAAATAAACTAACAATTATTTCCACATACAGGAAATGAGAACATGAATAAGAATAACATGGATAACAGCACCGCTATTCCACAAATTAGAATATACACCACAATGACTCTTTGATTGTCAGATCAAAAGTGCCTTTTGAAGATAACAACCTTTGAGCACCTATCATATATACTTTTCATTTCTGTTTTTAAAAGTAGGTTTGTTCTGGTTCATGTAATATTCTAATTTTAAATGTTGTGTTTTTATTAGCTGTAAGCAGAAAATCATCACGAGAAAGAGAAACATCAGTATTTTTCTAATTAGTTTATATAACTAGACAGGGCCGGCCCAAGGCAAAGCAAATTAAACAGCCGCTCGATTAGCCAATCAGCCGTTTAGAGCCCCATTCTTATTTCATGGATAAAAAGAAAAACAATGAATTGCTCCTGGGCGTCCGGGTGACTGGCTACATGGCTGCTACATGGATGAGCTGCTCTAGCCTGTAGGTGTTTGTTGCTGAGCTTCATCGTTTGTGGCTAAAACAAACATTATTTTTACATCAACTTCTGAGTTATCTGAAACTTCTGTTAAAATCATTTGAAGGCTCAGTATCAGTCCAGTACCGGTACCGATCCACATTCTCAGGGGAGAAAGACTCAAATGACATTTTTAGCTATTGGACTAATGCTTAAGAGAAATTTATTTAATCAAAGGTTGTCATGAATATGTGTGTAGAGCTGCATCAATTGCAGTTTTCTGGCCGATCCCTGGTAACTGATTTTTAAAAAGCCTGACCTGACGATTTTGATTTTGGCTGATATAAAATTTTTTTTGTCTGAAATGTCACTAAATATAGTAAGAAAGTCACTGAGTTGGTAACAACGGGGTGAATATTAAACCTTTGCTGATGAAGATAAGATTAGGGGATAAAATGGGCTTCACGTGTAAGTATCAGCCAATTACGATCCCCCAAAATTAAGGAAATCGGCGCCCAGAAATCAACTGGTCGATAAATCAGTTGGCCAATAAATGTATCCTCTTATACATGTATATAAATGTAAACAGCACTGGTAGAGATGCAATAAGTTCATAGCAAGTGTGTGAATGACCTAATGATCGGACTGCTGATTGATAACATTGTTAGCAGAACTAGAGGGCCCCAAAACCACATTTTGCTTAGAGCCCCATGGAAGTCTGGGCCGGCCCTGTAACTAGATAAATGTGATGCATTAGTGACATCTGCAAACGGCAACGATGGACAAGTGGGGGAAAATTTCTGCTTCAAAAATCAGTCTGGAAAACACTGCTGTTGTGTTCAAGTTGTGCTAAAAGGAATTAGCCAATCAGCAAAGCTATTCAAGCCTAGAATAGCATCTCAATGCTAAATATATTTTTAAAATAAGTCATATGAATGGTCAGAGCTTCAATTTATGTTAATATTTTTGTTTACCAGTTTCTGACATGCACTTGCTTTTTGCCTAAGGCCTATAGGAAGCAGCTGACTTGTTTTTCACAGAACCTGAATTTCCCGGTGGAGCTCTTGAATTTGCTGCTTCTTAAACTTCACTGTTCTCTCGGTGGCCTTCAGCTGTTCCTCCAGCTGCACCTTTTCCTGGTACTCTTCACCTTAAACAGACATAATCAGTATTGGTTTTGACCAAAACATAAGGTTATTACAGCAATCGCACAACTTTCACAAGCGCCGTGTTTCCGTTTCCAGAATTTCCCTCCACACATACGTACTGAATTTCTTCATTTTGCTGAGGCCGCTGCTGTAATCAGAGCAGCGACCAGAAAACAACTGGATGGTGTTCTCCAGAGCCCTGGTTTCAAGCTCCATCTTGTGGATGTACAACTTCATTTCTTCTGACTTTCGTCTGAGTTCCTCTTTGTCTAGCGAGGCCTGGTGGAGAAAACACGCAGCACAAATCAAGACGTTTCTGGTGGGCAGGGAAGACGACAGGCTCCGTGGGTGTGAAAGGTGTCTCACCTTAGTGATGTAGTAAATCTGGGACTTCTCGTCGTCAGAGCCCGCCAGTGAACTTTCCATGATCTCAAAGCGGTTCTTCACCGCTTCCACTTTAGATAATTCTTCATTTAATTCAACGCTGGAACAGAATAAAAGGACAAATCAACCCAACATGTCATTTATGTAAACTTTTAATTAAAAAAATTATTAAAATAGCACATTAAAGCATCATTTTTATGTGCAGCAGCAATGAGCGATAAGGTCTTAAAATTTTACTGTTTTATTTTGAGGTATTGATGAATAAAAAACAACTATTTGTTATTTATTCTGGCTCTGCATTTGTAGCATCAAATCTGGAACAAACTTCCAGAAAACTGCAAAACAGCCAAAACACTGAGTTTAAATCAAGAAACATGTTAAGTTACTTTTGACCCATATTAAAGGTTACACTGACCAACACATTTGATGTTTATTGATTTTAACGATGGCACCTGACAAAATGTAATGCTTGCAACTGATTTTCACAGTTGATGATTATATAATAAATGTGTTTATGATGTTTTTATGTTTTCAAGACTATAAACTGACTTGTTGCTGAAATGTGCTATACAAATACACTCAATTAACTGATTTATTGATTGACACATCTCTTCCTCTCGCACTATTGTAAATGGGAAAAACATTCCCATTTTTAAACAGGTTTCGTACTTTAAAAAGTGTGATTTATATCACTAAGCTGCTCACTGTGACTGCGTTTAATCATATTTTCAAATTGAATGATATTTATTGAAAACAAAATAACTTTCAATCACACTGTCAGTTTTGTTCTTTTTCAATAACTGACATTTATCACGACGACGTGATAAATTTTGTGCAAAGGCCTTTTTTTTTACAATAAATGACAAATGATACGATAAATGCAGAGCCTGTAGAGCACAGGTTTTCTTACCTCAGTTTCTGCCTGTCCTGCTCGGTAATCTTGAGCTGATGTTTGAGCATTTCGGAGTAAACGTGAATATCTTCCTCCCGCTCTTTCATGGCTTTCTCCAGCTCTAACTTTCTCGCCTCCCATGACATCATGTTGTCCGCGTCTATATAGATGATATCCCTGATGCGCTTCACCTCTGTCTTCAAAAGGTTGTTGTTCACTAAGCCGTCCTGATGGAAAATCCACAAATAACTTGATATGTTTCATGATTATTTCCCCCCAATACCCACACTATGCACTTTTTTTCCACAAAGACAAAGACTCAGACAATCCTGTCTTTAGTTCAAAACAAAACCATCTCAAATAATTTCTTTTATGATCCTACGTGAGCAGATATAATGATCCTAGTGAAGAACAATTAATGTACGGATTGAATTCAATATGACTCAATATTTTCATGCTTTAGACTCATGTAAGACATTTACTGTTGATTGTGCTCACATAAATTTACCCATTTTTTTGTAGAAATGAACAGACACTTCACCAAAGTATTTAAATTTCCTTCATGTTAAAACCGCACATTTTGATGCATCTTTTGAGATTTGGTGTGACAAATTAACATAATTGCAAAGTTGAAGAAATTGATAGTTTGACACATTTAAACATTTTTAACAGAAGACATTTGGCATATAGTAATTTCTCTAAATACCTGTGCTTCCCCCCTCCTTTAAAGTAAGAATTTAAATATCTAGTACTTTTTTTTTCTCAAAAATTAATTCTATTTAATTTTGTATTGGTTAATAGAAGTTGTTTTTGTTGAAAAAATGTCTCACTTTTGTTTCTCAGAATAAGCTTTCTAGATCAAATGAACTGAAAAGAAAAGCTGACTTGAAAAGTTAAGAATCTGCCTGCCTTTTATTAAGACAAAAGAAATTTCCTCTATGTTTCTGTAAAATGTTGCTTGGCTTCATTTATTGCTGAGCAGGTGAAAAAAAGCACAACACCATGATTTAGCATAAGTTAGAAACACAATATGGCCAGTGAATACTTTCAACTTTGGGATTCTGGACCAAAATGTTTGGACGATACTGGCGTAATTTAATTTCACAAAGGAAAAAAGGTATAAAAATACAGTAAGAACTGCTTCTTATTGTTTAAGCCAGCCAAAAACGATTCTGAGTTAGTTTCCCCTGGCGCATTGTTCCCTCTTTAGATGCTTAACATTTAACGGTATCTGGAATGGCACCCCACTCACCTGCCTCTTCAGTTTGAGCTTCTTCAACTCCTTTTCTTTGTTGACGCAAAGCACCAACAGGCAGTCAACCTCTTCAGTCAGGTCTCTCTTCTGAGCCTCTAGCTTCTCCATCTCTTTCCTCGCACAGCGGATATCGAGCTGCCAGAGACACACTCCCACATATGTAAAATGTAATAACTCCACTGGAACTTTAAAGGGAAATCTATGAGGAAGTGTTTTTCAGACAGACCTCACATTCTTTGAGTGCATTCTTGAGGATTTTGGTCGTCTCCTGCTTGTCTTCCAGATTGGAAGTCAGCTCTTTAACCTTCACCTCCAGCATCTCGGTTTCATCTGTGCGAATGGCTCCTGACAGCTGAGCTACTTTCCTGTGAAGCATCAGTATCTTTGCCTCCTACCCAGAGCAGAGCAGAGAACCAAATTGAAATACTAACTAGAATAGGAAAAGCTGAACAGTCTGAGTGCAGGGTGCTGCATTTGTGCGTATAATTATTTTTCAACATGCCTGATTGTTGTTCATCATCTGGTGTCTGATGAGTGTGTTCTCCATCTTAGTGACCTGGGTCACCAAGTTAGATATGGTGAACTTATTCTTGGACACCAGGGCTATTAGATTCTTCTCCTTCGCTTTGGCACTTTGGAAATTTTGTCTCTGGCGGAACAGCTCATCCATGAGCTCGTGCTGCTGAGCTGCCAGCATCTGTAGGAGGGAAGGAAGGAATATTAGACTGGCTGAATGAATAACAAAGAACATCTTTTTCATACATAAAGATAAATGTAGACAAAAAAAAAGAAGAAAATTTCAATTTAAAATATTTTATGGATTAATGTGCTAATTTGGTTTCAGGTGAAAATAAAGTAAAAGTTAATAAATATGTCTGGACACAGACAAGCTGAGAATAAAGGGCTTTTTTTGTTTTCTTTCTTAAGATGAGAGCAGTAGGTTGTCGGCGTTCCGGCGACACACCTTCATGTACTGTTCTGTCTCCATCAGGATCTGCTCCATGTGCGCGGCTCTCTCCTCCTCATTCAGAGCGCCCTCTGTCACAATCCTCAGCTTCTCCTGCAGTGCAGCGTGGTAGGCCTGGGCCTCTACTAACCTACAGCACACACATGCACACACACACACTGCACGGTACAGTAACATGCAGGGTTCAGAGATGCCTCCTCATATGTCTCACTGACCTTTCGTTGTTGATGTCGATGTCCATCTTCATCTTGGAGATTTGGGATGTAATAGACTTCATATCGCACCTGTTTTGATGCAGCGTGCTCTTGTAACTATCAAGCTGCAGGATAAACAAGTCTTTAAAAAAATTACAAATCACGAATGACAAAAGCAAAGAAGAGCGGCGTGTGCTTTGAGAAACTGACCTCAACCTGCATCCTGCCCAGGTTTTCCTGGTGTTTCTTCAGCTCCTGGCGTAGGATGGCCTTCTGCATCCTCGCCGAGGCGATGTTCCTCTGCAGCTCTCTGATGTTGCTCCTTTCCGTATCCAGCTTGTGCTTCATTTCTGCGACACAGATGTTCTTTTCCCTGGTTTTCTGCCTGCCCTGAGCAATTTGCTGTAATGAACAGAGAAGTTAAAAATAGAAAAAAACAATAAGGTTTTGTTGCAAAAGTCCCGTTTGGTGTAGAAATACACCTAAGTAAAGCCGGTTGTAGACATCTTACAATTGAGCATCTCTCCATGTCTGAGTCGAGTTGCTTTTTCTGTTTGATGGTGTTTTCACACAGGTGGAAGAGGTGCTGAATCTCAGCGCGAGCTTTCTGAATGCTCTCTATGGTCCTATCCAACGCTAGCTGCATGGACAGAATATTCAGAATAATAGAGAACTACAAAGAAGGCCTCCAAATTACCGATGGAACTATTAGTCGTTTTAATCATGAGTAATCAATTACTGAAATAATTGTCAAATAACTTAATAATCCATTATTTGTTAATTGCAATATGCAGGCTCAAAGAAAGCACATTTGCTGAAAGAACACTACAAAAACACAAAATCTTACCATGCATTTGTGCTCTTGTTTCTAGTACAATTTTCTCAGTACATTTGAAATAAGACAAGCGTAACTTAGAAGTAACTTTTCCCCAAGATGTAGGATATTTTTTAATCAAATACTTCCTTAATATTGATGAAAAAGTATTAGCTCACTGGTATTATTTTCCTTAAACATGGGAAAATGTCATGTTATAAGTGAAACATAAGACATTCCTTGTTAGGCTTCACTTAAAAAAAAACTATTTTCCTGTTTAAAAAATCAATTGAATCACTTGTTTATTTGCATCTTTTATTGCATGTTGCATAATAAAAGCTAAGGTGGTTAAATAAAAATCTGCAGATTGACCTTTTCTTTTTTAAAACTGGCACATTTTTATAAAATGTGCCAATTTTTTAAAAACAATGAATCAATAATCAATAGATTAATCGATTACACAAACAATCGTTAATCAATAGATTAACTCCGAATGCAGCCTAATTTTGACTCAGCCAAAAAAAGAAAGAAGGACCACAAAGTAAATGGAATATTGAAACAAATGCCAGATCAATGTTTTCCATACCAAACTAATACATTCAGTAACATGCGCAGTGTGATTGCTGTGTGTTATTACATTACCTGGGTAGACCTAGTTTCTGTTAGCTCTTTGTCAAGTGCTTTGCGCTTTTCTTTGACCTCCAGAGTCCTCTTCTCTATAGTCAGAATGAGCGACTAAATGAGACACACAGATGGAGATTAGCTGAGGAGATACAAGGATGACGGCGAAGCTACAAGTGTTACTTAACAACCTTGATCTTATGCTCGTCCATTTGGGCGTATTTCGTGATGACCATTAAGTCCTCGTCCTTTTGAGCCGCCTCCAATAAGAGGTTCTCCATGGTCTGTTCGTCCAGGTCCATCTGAAGCCGCAGCTCCTCCAGAGTCTGCGTTGCCTTTAGCTGGCTTTTCTGAAGACACAGAAAGAAGAATCAGAGGCACATTTCGCTTCTTCTCTTCTTCAAGTCATGCAGTGTTCAGACCTCTATCCTGTCCATCTTGTCGTATGAAGACTTGATCTCTCTTTCGGCCCGAGCTGTCATCTGACCGTAGCGCTCCAGCTCTCTCACTGTCAGCGCTTTCAGATGCTTCATCACCTCCAGCTCTTTTTCGTTTGCCTTCAACAGAGCCTGTACGCAGTCAAAAAGACAATGTGATAACATAACTCGGCTGTACGTCTAAAACAACGGACAGACACTGACCCACAATCAGACAGTTTCTGCTTTCTTATATTTCCCACAATTTTTGGCTCTGATATTCAGTGTCATCATGAATATCCAGCATAATTCTGACAGAAACGTTTCAGGATTTTCCTGACTGTAAATCGACTTGCAACTTCTGTGCACTCAGTGGTGTCAGCTATGGGAGGCTATGTCCTACTACTAAGATGGCTGGTCTCTACTGCAGTTTAATCAGATTATAAATAACAACAGATAGGGAGTCAAGAAGACAAAAAGCTGAGTCTGTATGTTTACTTATGTGCACGGTTATGCAACTGGGTCAACGCAGGAATTCACTTCAAAGTGAAATTGTACAGAATATGTGTCACAACACAGGTGGAAACATTTCCATTATTTATATCACAATAACCTGATCATTTAATATTGGCGTGTACTTTGAAAAGCCAGTGTATGTGGCACATTTATAACATAAGGTTAGTTCCAACACACTCACCTCAGTGTTAACCAGCTGTAGCGTATCTCTCTGGAGTTCTTCATTAACAAGCTGTTGTCGATCTCTAATTTCCTTAATTTTATTATCCTCTCGCATAACGGCCATCTCAGCTTTATAAATCTGTTCTCGACAAAGCCATAGAAATCAGAAACTGAAACTACAACATCAATTTTAAGAGATGGACATGGTCAATGATAATAAACAGGTGGACTGTAGATATAGGGTCCAAACAGTGACAGAAATATACAATACATGCCATTACACCACCAGCAGCATACTGAACTGTTGATACAAGGATGAAAGGATACAGTTTTGTCATGTTGAAACTCAAACGTAATAATGCTTGAATAAAATACTTACAGTAAATTCAGCCTGTTTTACTTTAGTGTCTATTGGAACCAGAAAAGTAAGTTTTTCACCACCATCCCCTCATCTTACCTCCAGCACAAACCTGAGAGGAGTATTGAAGCTTTTATTTTGACATTTTCAATAAGCTTCATTTTAAAGGGCCTCACTGATCCCCTGTGTAACACTGATTGGGTTAAACCAATCAAAAATTCACCCCAACTCTCACTCTAACGGAGCGACACTTCGTGTCAGTTACACTCTGCGTTTCGGCAGTTGTAACCGATGGTAAATATAACTGATAAATGTTTCAAACGGCTGTCCCTATGTATTGCTACGGCAGGCCCCCAATTAGAGTTAATGCTCCATTAAGTGAACAAAAGACAGCAAGAAAATGCCTGAGAAACAACTTCCAAAAATGAACAAAATATCCTTCAAATTAAACAAGAAAGAAAAACACATTTCAATGTAAATTACATTGTTTGGCAAGTTTACTTCTACTTCTCAAGTAACTGACAAACGGCTGTCAAAAGTTTTGCTACAGTTGGACTTCTAATGCTCATATTTAGCCACTGGACAGATATCTATACTTCGCTTAAGCTAATTGTACAGTTGAGTAAAGTATGCAGCGCGCACAAAGGGAGCTCGAGGAGGGATTTACTGCCTTACCTCCTCCAGCAGCGCTCTGTTGACGTCGCTCAGTTCAGGAAGAGTGTAGCTATAATCCCAGCCAATTTCATATAATATTTTCTCAAACTCAGGGTCACTAAACTGATCAACATTAGAGCTAGCCATTTTTTTTTCTGTCCCGCTTGACAGCGAAGTCTCCCGAAACGCCCTGAAACGATAGGGAAGCAGTTTTTGTCCTTTACGCTGTTAGTAGTCGCCCTTGGCAACCGAACGCGCTTACGTCACCACAAGAGGGCTGCGCGCGACAAGGAAACGACGTCTTGCTGTTTCTCTGGTGATCAAAAAGTTTTAACACATGATCAAATTTGTACTTCAATTTGTCCCGAATTGTTTAAAAATAAACACTTACATTAGATTATATTGTTGACTACAAATTATTAAATAACACAATTCTCAAGTCTGATCTGTAAATATTAATCATAACTGAAAGTGATAGATTTTATAACAAGTCAAATTATGTTATTCAAAACGACAATATAATGGCTAAATAAACAAGAGAAATTGCCTATTTTGTGTGTCTTCAACAAGAAATATAACAAAAAGGTGACACAATCACCTAAATGCATCCTTTACAAGATCATAAACAATTCACAATTTTTGGTAAATAGATTTTTAAAAAGTGGCTTGATTACCCCTCAGTTAAAAATAAAACTAGGAAACTTAAATGATTATGTTCCAAAAATTGCAACAATGATCACAAATGGCCATGTGTTCCAAAGCTACAAATGAAAACAAGGAACATCAGTATTACACCGTTTGTAAATAAGAAACATAATTTAACAAATACATATGAAATTGCATCATTAGTATTATGTGCAGCAACACATGATGTACTGCATCACAAATATGACTGAACAATGAAATCTGTGATTAATTTTATTTTACACATAACCTTGTGTTCATTAATAATTTTTTGAATAAGCCTTTAGTTACTAAATATAAAATATACAAACTTTTTTAAATACATGCAACAATAAACATGGTTATTTCCAATTTATTTTAGCTATGTAAAAAAAAAAAAAATTCAACAATGCACAATGGGCACAGATCAGAAGGGGATATTTTTATGAATCGAAGATAATGTCTGCAGACATACGTCCACAAGTATGCCACAAATGTGAGATTCAAAAATAAGATGTTTTAAAATTCTGTATTTAAAACTGAAACGTATGACTAATTCATGCTGCTTCCACTAAGTAGACATCTTAAAATGAGGCTAAAAAATGAGAGCAGATGGTCACTTTTATTTATCCCTTAATTATTTTTAAACAGTACCATGTTTAAAAATTCCAGTGCTTTAAACTGGCTTGACTTACAAATGCATCATAACACACACAAAAAAACAAACAGAACAAGAAATGTACATCAGTATTAAAATACAATATCCCTTTAAGAAGCCAAGAATTTACCATTGAATTTCAAAGTAAATCCACGTATTCTTTAAAGATGAGCATAACCGGGAAACGGTGATGGCTCTCCAGCTGCCTTGAGCGCACATAAAACATCCTGAAGTCTTTAAACTCATCCACCACAAACAACAAAGATGAGCCTTTATTTTTCCCTCTGCAGGTTACAAACACACTTATATAAAGTCTCTCATGTGAAAAAACTCATCAGAGAAGTCCTGAGTGTTTGAAAAGGCGTCATAATCCCTGCTTGGTATGCTCAACAAACTGTGAACTCTTCCATCAGTTGAACCTCAAACTGTGGAGCTTTTGGTCCCGATGTGCGACCGTGCAAATTCTACAAAGTCATCTATGAGGACAGGCCAGGCTCCTGTTGGGGAAGAACAAGGCAGAACATGAAGATTTGCCCAAAAAAAAAAATGGTTGAAGGATTTTCTATCCGGATCATTGGGTGAGCAGTTTCCCTGACCTTCTTCATCATAATTGGACATGTCATCTGTGATCATTGTGCTGAAGTCTAATAAGAGATTCCAGGTGTCCTTAGGAATAGATTTTTTGTGGTGTTCCTGTAATCAAATGCAAAATATTAGCAATTACAGAGAAAACTCATCTAAACAAATTTCTATTTTCTTTTTTCTCCCCAATTTGTGAGTTGTTAATGACTTTTCATTTCAGCCCACTGCTTTAGAGAAACTTCACAGGTAGTTACAGGTATGCGTATACTACTGAGAAACCAGAAACAGGCCTGTCACAATAAATAAATCAGTTAATTGCATGATGAATTAAAACTCAATCATTTCAAGTTATTGTTTTCTTTTTTCTCTCTGTTTCTCTACTAAAAGCTGGATGACAAAAGTCTTCAGTCTGGTGCTTTGGTCTCAACTTCCCTTTGCTTTTGAAAGAGTTATGTTTACTTCATCATCCAATATATTTGTCGTTTATGCTGTTTTATTTATTTGGGATATTTCAAATGTCTTCCAGTTCTACTGTTAAAAGCCCATTAACATTTATATTGTATTGATCTATGAAAATATATTTCTAGACATTATATAACTTGAAATTGTTCTCAAAACAGCAATATAAATTATTATCACAATAACCTCTGGGACAATTTATCGTCAAGCAAAATGTGTTACTGTGATGGAAGTAACAAGAAGTAAACGGCCAATGACAAAATATGATTTTTACAAACTTCGATGTGTTTGATCAGGGTTTTAAACTATAGACACAAAATAGCAAATAAAAGTGTGTAAAAAGTATTTCTATATATGTATTAATTTGGAAGGTGTGGCACACTTTGTTTATCAGGAGACTAAAGTGACTGCTCATTTCTTCATAAAATAGCAAATCCCTGCTGTAAACAAACACACCTACAACATGATGCTGCCACGACTATGGTTCAGCACTGGCAGAGTGTGTTCAGGACCAACCTGAGTGTGACCTATTGCATAAAACTACGGTTTTCTGGCTGAAATCAATTATTAAAAAGCCTGATCGGACTATTTTCAACTTACAAGTAAGAACTGGTTCCACAAATCCAGGAACTTGAATCTCCCAGCCAGGACTAAATTCCAGTATGCAATCGCCATATCTAGATCTGTGATGAAAACCAGCAGCAGGTCAGTAGAACTGTGATGGACAAAACCAACATGCTGGGATGCAGGTGATTCTTACCCAATCCCTTCTGGCCAGGATTCTTGGCAAAATCAAATGTAAACTGGTAAAAGCCTTTAAATTTGCCCTGGTCCTTTAATTCCATCTCCATCTTTGGCAACTGAGATTTCAGCTTCTCTGTGCTGTCACACCTTTGAAAGAGCAAAAAGGATTTGTTTCACCAACAGTGTTTCCATTACAAATGTGCGCAAAATTTTGTCAATATTCCGCTAATGTCAGAAAAAAAACACCACACAATTTCGCAATTGCGGTATTTACATTAAATAAGATATGCAGTTAAAATCACGTGAAATTAGTTTGTTCAACTGATGCACATTATTAAAAATTGTGCGTCTCTTACATCCTATCACTTCCTGTCGTCTTCTTCATGTTTTTCACCAGTAGCGACATCCAATTGTATGTCACGACATGGGTCATGTGATAAACATGATGCAAAAAAGGGTGTTTCTGTTGAAATACACTACTTTTAACAAAGCCAAAAAACTAATTCCAATGCAAAAACGTCAGGTTTTCCCCAGTATATTGTAAGCCTGGCGGGCCACCAGGCTTTACATGTGCCCTCAATAGGCTACTGAAACATTTTTTGGACAAATGTTTTCATGCCACAGATAATTGACTAATCAGATTTTCAAATTTCCTCTAAACTTGAAACATTTTTACTCAAAACCATGGCAGACCATTGGAGCTCCTACTGGGCTTTCTGGTGAAACCCTGAAATTTGTATCAAAAGACATGATATTATTTTTATTGGTGTGAAAATTTATTTTCAGAATTCCAATTTGCATCATTTTAAGATCAATGGAAAAGCAGCTGTTTTGTGGACAAACGCTTCACAAAAAGAACCCTCTCCACCCACCAATTAAATAACAAAATGATCTCACCCCAGTTCGGTCATGCCATCCATGAACTCCTGTTTGGAAAATTCGCACTGTGTTGCTGCTCTGAACTTCCACGCTATGAGGAGGACATTGATACTGGCCGGATTCAGACCCAGGTCATCGCAGAACAGCTGGATCCCGTCAACGCCTATTTTGTTGTGATCGTGAGGTTCTAAAAACAGGAATGGAAAAACGTGGAATTACTTGATAGGTGCTTCTGGCCGGTTCTTAATTTGATCACTGTTATGCTAAAGGTGTACAGCTGAGTTAAAGTTAAAAAAACATTTAAAAAAACTTGATCAACATCAGTGTTCACAGTTATTATAACATAGTATCTGAAAGGAATGCTCAATGCTTTCTAGCAATCAAAAAAAAAGACTAAGAATTGGTAAACTACTTTTTAATGAATTCCATTGAGTTGAATTACAACAAAAACTACTAGTTAGTACACTGTTGCACCTAAAATGAACTTATTACACCGAAAAATGTTTTGAACACTGAACCAATTTCAATCACCAGGCAATATTTTATTTGCCATTGTCAAAACTTACTAAGCATGGCGGTTTGGCGCTAGGGCACTAATTCAACCAGCAACCAGTCATGTTATTTTGAGTTTAAAAAATGTTTAAAGGTTGACAGAAAATTTTAAAATATCAATTCATAATTATCTATTATTGAAAGATTGGAATATTAATACCTGAACACCAAAGAGTTGTTAAAAAATAAAAACATTTGATAAAAATTGAAATAAATAAGCAATTCTTAGCCGGGTGGGGGCACAAGTAAAGCCTGGTGGCCCGCCAGGCTTTACAAGATGGGGGAAGCCCTGCATCTTGTTTACCTCTGTATCTGTTGAACAGCTGCTCCAGCCTCTTCTTGTCCGAGCCCCCCTTAGTATTTGAAACGTAGAGCTCTGGGTTCTGGAAAAACTTGTCCGTGGCAACGTCTAGCTTCCAGTCATTCTGAGACAAGCAGGCCACCGCAGTCTTCTCATTGGATTGTGTAAAAATGATAAACTGACTAACTTTGTCCTTCTGAAGGGACTTCAGCTTGTTCTGCAGTGAAGAAAAACACAACACACACAATGATACACTGCTGATGCTTTTTTTTTGGAAGGCCTCCATGTAGCACATAAAACATAAAATTTCTGGCTTTTATATTTTATGATCACACTTAAAGAAAAAGAAAAACAAGAATTACCTATAATTCTAACATACGTTTGCAATTTTAATTAATGGAATATTACATTTAAATAACTAAA